TGTTCTAGCATAAACTATTTCATTATGAAAACTGTATTAGGCAATACTCTTGAAGCGACTTACAGCAGACCCAAAAATTCTTTTGCTGGCCATATTGTGGTAAATGCGCCATGGCCTAGCTTTTCCATGATCCTATACCTTGGCCTCGAGTCTCAGAGGCCGACTTCTTAAGAATCTCTTAGGAGTGCGGGATGGTAACCTCTTAGGCTGTATAAGCTCATATGTATCCTCTACATCATTAGTACCATTGTAGAACAACATATTGGCTGCTATAATTGAGACGGGTAGAGTCAGGACAAAAATGGAAGATGTAGTATCGCAATACAACCCTCTTAGGAATTTCACTTAAAGGTATCCTAGTTGAATGTGAGTGAATAAATAAATCCAAATGTTTCAAGAAACTTGAGGATAAACTGAATAGGAATAGCCGTTCTCTGTCCCAACACAGCGCGGAGAGAAGGAATGCCGGGTGGAGGTATCCGGAAATAAAAAAAGGAAAGAAAAGAAAAAGAAAGGGAGAGGATTGTAAGCAGAAGAGGATGATGAACCAGAGCCCACCGGCTCCAGGTAACTACCCTTCGACATAGCAGCCCGCCTGTGACGTAGGCATTTTTTAGGGAGCCTGAGAAATTGAATCCAGACTCAAAATATAAACGGATACTGATAAAAGGAGATATCAATGAACCTGCTATTGGACAATAAGTAAGACTCACTATAAGTAGTAAAATGTATGGTTGTAAGGAGAATAGAGATCAGCCAGAACTATCTATGGCAGGCCATACAATGTAGCATATGCGGGTAAGACGGAAGTGGCCGGTATGGAATAAATAACTATCATCCATAATTATCCTCCATATCATGGAAGGAAAGTGGCCAGGGGATCTTGTAATATCTCAGATATACAACCATACCAAAGTTACAATTTTTCAGGACTTTCAGCCAACCAGATATTCACGACGGCTATTTCCTGGCGGCCGGGTGGTAACTTCTCCTCTCTTTTGTTAACAGGTCAGGAAACAAATAGAAGGAGCAGCCGGAGAAAGTCAAATCAGCAGGAGTCAATGGCGTTCAAAGAAATTTGTAGTCACGGCCATTGCTGGTCATGTTATCTACCATACCGCCTCTTATTTAGGAGCTTCCGGGTCGCCCTCCGCGACCAGCTTTCCAACGACCAGGTATTTCTCCAGAAACCTTTCCTCCCAGCCCCTGAGGTTGTCTAGTTGCTCTTCGTCCAAGCCATGTAGATCATCTAAAGGACCTTTAAGGTCCTTTGTGAGCATCTCCTCGTCAAAGCTCTGGCAAGCCAATCCTCGAGTAGCGTCACGGCCGGCAAAGTTCTCATACGGTCCGCCCTGGAAAATCACACAAAAAGTTTAGGACAGGTGCTCTAAATGGGAAAGGCTGCGAAGGGGTTCCGAATTACCGGGCCGTAAAAATTCCTCCCCGGGCTCACATCAAAAACCTTTCCGCGAACCGCAAGGTATACAGGTTTGTTGTCTTGTCCATTAAACTCTATCAGGGTTGTTGGTTTGAACGTGCGGAATACAACCGGAGCCTGGTCTTTTGGTAGGGTAACTGGGGCCTTGGGCCGGAACTGCATATACACCACGACGACAAAAAGGGAGAGAAGGACTAGATTTATTGGGGAAGCAATAGATGCCCTAAGAGCTGAGGTTAGAAGGTCGAGCCAGCATATTGTAGCAATCGAAGGAGAGAGGCCCCGTCGAGGGATACAGCTTACACCTCAGGGACCGGGGAAGCATTGGCATCTTTGGCAAATTAGCTCTGGTGGACCTAGGATTACTCAGGAAGTACGCGGGAAGACGAACCTGACGCCATTCTGATGTAGCTCGTAAAACTGTCTCAAGTAGACAATGCAAGAAAGGGTCGCGGTGAATATCTTCCCACCACCGCGCAGTTGCGGACGCTTCCGAGCTTTCACCATCACGGCCATTGGCTGCAAGCCTGTCTGCGAAGACTGCGTGTTATGTCATCGATGAGTGGTTGATTATATAATATAACCTTTCCGCACTGGTAACTAGTTAACTAACTAACTAACTTAGCTCGTGTTCGTCGGCTTTGAAACTGCGCTAGTCTCAAATGAGGCGATGCGGCGGCGGCGACATCGCGGCGTTGTGAATGGAGGGATCGTTACAGCTGCGAGTGGAGGAGAGGTGAAGAACACAACTTCTTGTCCTGCTGGCCGGTGAATGCAATCATTCCTTATCCCTCTTCATTGGTCTGGAACCATTATTGATGTCACTCCTTTATTCTTCCTCTTCATTCTTTCAAATTATACAGCATTTTGAGGGGGAAATTATTTGGAAATCTCTCCGGCAGTGTCATGTTCCCTTCTTCTGAATCTCAATTGTTTTAGACTTCACAATACAAAGGGGGCCATCGCATCGCACAGCCTCCACAGAATATTATTTTTATATCTCATTGTCTTCTTTTGGTACTGCCGAGCAAGGTCCTCGAAGCACTCTTCGTGAGGTATGATCCCGCCGCAGCTTGATTTTGGCCCCAAGCGCAGAGCTCGCACAGCCATGCGTGTAGCCATTATCCCCCCTCTCCCCTTCCCCCCCCCAAAAAAAAAAAAAAGAAAAGAAAAGAAAAGAAAAAAAAGAAAAAGCCGCATTTGGATAGTAGTGAGTGCGTTTACTGACGTATGAGTGGTGACGTTTGGAAGATTATGAAATGTGGAAAGCGAGTCATCCTCCTACTCCCAAAGACATGGCAAACCCCCGGTCAAGGGGGCCGAGATTTACAATTGAGCGCAACAAAGAACAAGGGTTTGTGAGCCCACATGTACAGGAAATGAATTATGAGAACAATCCATACGGACGACCATTTCGTTCATAGTGAGTGGAATGCTAGCCCAATTTCACCTTAAAAACAAGAGGCCTGACTGTGTCGTAAGCAATTCTATGGAACCGCCGCCCGCGATTGGCAAGGAGCCACGCATAACATCCTCGATTTACTCTGACTGGGATTCTGATAACGAACGTCGACCCACAAAGCCCCACGTTTATCTTGACCGTTCCTCTGAATATCGCGATAGTCAGTACACTGATGCATCGCCGCCTGTGTCGCCAATGCCTGGCCAGTATAGAAATACTACCGGAAATGATAGCCCAGACATATCTCCTATAGAAGAGTTTTTTGAACCTGCTGTTCAATTTCCCCGTGAAAAAATCAATTTTCCCGATGCAGTTCCGGTCTCTCAGAAAGTTGCGAAGGCGCCTCAAATGACAAAGGACGACCCAAACGCCGGTGCCATCCCAAAAGGCAGACGCGGATTTTCCGGACCGCAGCCTGCTCGAAAAACAAAGTGGGATGAGTTTTCAGGCGAACCGACCAAAAGCGATCGCGGCAAGTTTGCCCAAGTTTCCCCCAAGAATCCGCATTTGCCAGTGTTATCAAATCTCAAGCCTTCGCAGAAGCACCCTTTCGGTTTCTTTACAAGAAACAAGGATACAAATCAAGGCCGCAGACGAGCCCCAAAGCTTGACCCAGAAGATCCGGCCTTGGTGCCTCCTACTCGTCCACCGTGGAAAGGCGCTAGTGGAAGGTCTGCCATTTTGAACCCGATTTCGACCAAAAAGCCGTCCGCAGAGGAACCATTTATTCCCCCACCCAGGAAGGATAGTCGACCTCAACCAGTCGAACCGCTGCACACTACACCAGCAGGGCTTTCAACCACCTCTTTAAAGGTACCATCCGACTCGGTAGCGCCATTTAGAATCGATACCTTCGATTTCGCGACATCGCAGAGTGGTATACAAGAGGATACCGGTTACGCGGCGGACTCGATGAATGGGTCCAATGGACAGAATCCATCTACAATGCTCAATAGTCTGCCAGACCTTTCGCATCCCCTTCGTAGCGAAGCTCGAATACGGGACGTCCCGTTAGAGCCGGATTACATGAAGCTGGAAAGCCTAGACTTGGAACCTCAGCCGGTGAGCCGTTTCAGTATGACGACTTTCGCTACCACCGAAGTAGGCACCCCACCGCAATCTTCTCGACGAAGCAACGAGAAAGATGCTCCGCCTCTTCCAGATATCCCCACCGATATAGCGGCCAAAGCTGCTAGGATAACGGCGCGAAAGCCTACTCCATCCCAGCTGTCGGCGGTTACTTCGAAGTCGTTGCCACGGAGCCCGCCAGAAGTGGAGGCTAACAATCGCATCGAAGCAATGGAGGCAAAACTTCGCGATCTTGCCCGAAGACGCGGTAATATCAATACCATCATCAACGAATTGACACAAGTCATACAGCCAAGTTCAATCGCTTACGATTTTGCGACTCGTGCTGAAGTTACAAAGACCGTGAAGAGCCTTAATAACGAGCTAGACGATATCAAGAAAGATGAGCACGATATCGGGCTCAAACTTCATCGGGCGTATAAGAAGAAGGATGAAGAGGATGAGTACGAAGGGTCTGGATTATGGATTAAGAGAGTCACCAGCTAAAATGGCTTCGACTGATGCAGCCGGCGTCATGATCCTTGCACAGTATTCATACAAGACCCTGGTTGGTCGTTCTTCGATTTGAAATTTCTTGAAGTTTTCCCTTCCTCCACATTTCAAATTTCCCTAGCCCTTTTTACTCCAGTGAACACTTGTTTACTCTGCTACTTCTTGAGAATACCCTTTTGCCCAAAAATTTTACAAATTCAGATCTATGTTCAAAGAACCCTGGGCGATTCTGTGAATTGTTTCTGTGAAGCTTTCCTTTCATGTACATATATTTTCTTCATTATACGGACTTAAGGTGGTTTAGTTTCCGACATGAAAATGCGTATAGTGGTGCTCAAGATCAATGGCAGGCGCTACTCTCAAGTTCAAAATTTCGTAGAAGTAGATCACCGCCCGCTCATGCTATGGGTACTCGCTCGCGAAGAGAACGGCAATTCAAGGGACCGTAACGCCCGTCAGAGGACATAATGTCGTTACATCGTAGGCTCGACAACCCGAACCAGAAGAGCCGCTACCCCATCACTTTTTACCGGACTTCTTGATTCCTTGTTGGCCGGTATTCATCGGGCCCTTGCCCTTCGCTTTATCAGCCATTTCCTTTCTGGCTTTGGCCTCTGGAGAGAAAAGAGGTTATCAGCTTTTAGAGCTCCTCTTAGAAGGCGATTACGAGAGCCCTCCTAGGATAGACCACAATAAAAGACAAAGATCATACCTGCTTTCTGCCTCTCTCTGAAGGCGAGATCATCGTCATCCAGTTCTTTCCTTTCCTTCTTAGCAGCCTTGAGGGGTTTGGCTTTGCCGCCTGTAACAGATCCTTCAATCAGTCGATGAAAAATCAAGAGCGGTGGTGGTTCCAGTTGAAAAACAAACCTTCTCTAGATTGACCACCCATGTTTGCGTATAGAATAAATTATTCGGCGATCTCAAAGAACAGTTTCTCGTCCGTTGACGTGCGGGTTCTCGTCGCTGCTCGCCCCTCGTCCGCCTGGGGGAAAGAAAACCACCAAAGCCGAGCTGGCGAGGTATCGGGAGCTAAACCGCTTTTGGCTAGTGCACTTGAGGGATGCGCCTCTATGCGTTCAACTCCCAAATCCGACTCGTCAAACCAGAGTAACAACTCAGAACTTGGCGCGACGACTTGTCGCTGAATTTCGATTAATTCAAAGCAGGCATTTTCTTCAACAAGCTGAGAACAACGTTGGATGGCATTCTCGCCTTTTCCTATTGAATAGATGCTATCGAGCATTGCCGCGTGGGAAGGGCCATAACTAGCCGGGTTGGACATTTCACCATCACCTAAATTGTCATCCGTGCTTGGGAGGAAACTCTGTGCTAATTGAGTCGTCATAATTTTCAAGCTACCATCGCTGCAACCTGGCCGGCTGATTCCGCCATATTACGACTCTGGGCGGATTGTGATCTGATGGCATCGAGACGGTCGAGGTCCCCATCGACCCCATCGGAGGGTGAGATCATCGAATCAGGTTCAGATACGAAGGCAACTACGTCGCAGACTTCTCTTAATGACATAAAGGTTGACCGTAACACCAGACACGATATATACTCTCCGAGATCCCCTGTATCTGTAGGAAGATCCAGTCACCGCGAGAGATCGAGATCGCGGTCGCCCTATCGCCCCTCAAGAGGCGAAAAGCGCAGACGCGATGATTACGACTACGACAGAGGCAGCCGACGAACTCCAAGCTTGAGATACGATGATAGGTACTATGGTAGGAGCGATTCACGCCGGCATCGCCGCCCGTACTATGATCATGACCGGAGTGATGCCTACGACAGGCATCGTCTCTCCTACAGTGATGACTACGATAGACGCGCTGAAAAGCGCCCTCGAACTCGGAGTCGATCTCCCTACCGTGAACCGAGAAAGCAAAAACAGTATTCCGATGAGCAGGAAAGAAGGGATGAGAGATCTTCGGCTAGACCAGCAGACAGCCACTCGCATCCTGAGGGAAGAAGGTTATCTACAGAACAGTCAGTGAGCGAACGGGGAAATCCCTCTGTTAGCGCTCAAAAAGCAAGACAGGAAGCTGAATATCGAGGAACTCAGATGCAGCAGACTTCCGTCACCGAAACGAGTGTCTCTAATGGGTGAGTCCTTCTCTTCTGACTTGTTCCTAACCTCGACTAATTCTTATCAGCGTTGCACCTAATAACGATGCTCCTATGGAAGATGAAACTCCCTCTGAGCCCGTTGACGAAGCCGCCCTAATTGAGCAGCGACGCAGACGTCGTGAAGCTATAAAAGCTAAGTACCGTGGTCAAGCGACGCCTCTTCTTGTCCAAGCTCTTCAGATTGGGACTGAGACAGGATCTACTGCATGCGATGCCAGTGAGGCCGTCCCCAAGCCGGGCTTGTCAGGTAATACAATACTAGGCCATCTACCAACTCCAAGTCTGTAGGCTGACATCTCCACACCAGGTCGCCAAGGTTCACCTACGAACACCCTAGACGATACATCTACTGCTCAATCTCCCACAGACCTCCATGTTTCCCGAGATGAAGACCTTGCCAACACTGATTTGCAAAGTAGAAGTGGGCTAGAAAAGGAAGAGGCTTCCGCAGCTGATTATGACCCGACCGCCGACATGAGGCAGGAAAAAATGAAACATGATAAACGCCATTTTGGCGAAGATATGTCGGCAAGCGCGTATGATGAAACCAAGGTAACAAGGCAGGAAGTGCTTGTTCCGGAGCCAACAGCAGCAGACCCAAATCAGATGAAAGCGAAGGATCCATTTGATATGTTTGCTGAAGATGACGATATGTTTGCCGAGGAGCCTCCCAGTACAGTGGCGCAAAATGCTCAAGCGCAGATTGCCGTCAAGCCAAGCATTGCCCAGCCTCAAGAACTTGACATGAGTATGATGGACAATTGGGACGATCCTGAAGGCTACTACAATGTGATGCTGGGTGAGTTGATCAATGGACGGTACCACGTTCAACAAAATCTGGGCAAAGGAATGTTTTCTTCAGTTGTTCGCTGTACGGACTCGAAAACTGGAAGGCTGGTTGCCGTGAAAATTATTCGTAACAATGATACTATGCGCAAGGCAGGTTTCAAGGAGATAGAAATACTGCAGCAGCTACGAGCTGCCGACCCGGATGATAGGAAACACATTATCAGGTTTGACCGGCAGTTTGAGCACAAAGGACACTTGTGCATGGTGTTTGAAAATCTCAGCATGAACCTTCGGGAGGTTTTGAAGAAATTTGGCCGAGATGTGGGTATCAATTTGCGCGCCATCCGGGCCTATGCTCAGCAAATGTTTCTCGGGTTGAGCCTTTTGCGCAAATGCAATATTATCCATGCGGATCTAAAACCAGACAACCTACTTGTGAACGAGAATCGAAATCTTTTGAAACTGTGCGACCTCGGGTCGGCCTCTCCGATTACCGAAAACGAGATCACACCTTACCTTGTCAGTCGTTTCTATCGTGCTCCTGAGATTATACTCGGCATCCCATACGACTATGCGATAGATGTGTGGTCAATTGGATGTACGCTCTTTGAGCTTTACTCGGGTAAAATCCTCTTTACGGGTCGCACCAACAACCAAATGCTACGCTCCATGATGGAGTGTCGTGGCAAATTCCCCCCGAAATTTTTACGTCGAGGATCACTTACTCACTTACATTTTGATGATCTCCTAAATTTCCGCAGCGTTGAGGAAGATAAAATTACTGGACGGATGGTGACCAAGATATTAGATTTTAAGAAACCAACTCGAGATTTGAAGACGCGACTGATAGGCAAAGGAGCGAGGCTCAGCGATACAGAAGCAAGGGAGATAAACCTGTTTATTGACCTATTGGATCGCTGCTTAAGTCTGAACCCTGAAAAGAGATGCACCCCATCGGAAGCACTGAGACATCCTTTCATTGCAAGGAGCAAGGCCTGACCGGGTAGTCCTTGTTCAATGAGCCTACATACATGAAGGCGGATCTACGGAGCATGGTGACTAAAGAAGCGGGCTCTTGTAATTGTTGATGAAGTCAGACATTTGCAGCACTTTTTGGCACTTTAGAGGTGATGTCAAGTATTACACAACATAGTATTTACATGGTGGCAAGGAGTCATTGGTTTAATATGAATGAAAGACATGATCTCGCTCTCCTGATTACATTTACTTCGAGATCCTAGTAGTGGATTGGGATGTAAGCGGAAACAGGCACATGAGCTCAGAGTTCTTGCCCAGTACAGCATATGAATACTCAGAACAAATCCATATTGATGCCTGAAAACATTTACAGATCCTGTCATAATTGTCTGCCTTGTCATTTGATGCATAGTAGCAAGTTAAACAAAACCTGTGCGCTATGCGCCATATGCTGTACCTCCATGCGCGAGAAGTAATAGGCCATAGACACATCATCACACGGCGGCTACAGACCCTAAAGCAGGGACAGGTTTGCTTGCCTTCAGCTGTATCACCACAACACTAAAATGCACGCATGTACTCCGCACCTACATATCCTTGGAGGATTCACACCGGCCGGCTGTGATTGAAGGATCAGGGCATGCAGTGGCTTTCACCAAATATGCCTAGTCATGGGAAGACAAGAAGCTGACTATCAACCGCATACCTACTTGTGCATTGAGACATAGAAGGACATTGATGTCCAAGACCCTGCATACGTACTGTTCTATGTAGGCCAGAACCAAAGCATCCTGCTCTAAAGGGTCGTCCTACATAGGGAATGCTGCAGTATTTGAAGCATTTCCAGTTACACAACGTACTGAGGGGTTGAAAACATCTGTGTCTAGCCGCCAGCTTGAAAGTATAGGGAGTACTATGTATGCACTATTGCATATGTATAATCTAAGTGGGTACGAAGTAGATGGTTGCTCAAATCATCGATTGATTTTGCTTTGTGACAAGATACAGCCACAGAGTATATTTCCAACGGCGAGTGATTTCCTTTTGAGATGCGCCCATCCCGTTCTGCGACAATTTTATGGGAATGATTGCTTTTTCCGACTATCTGCTAAACCACCATCCTCCCAATAATGATCGCTTGCAGAAAGTTTAGATTGGTTATGACAAAGTTGCCCAAGTCCCAAGTACCAAGAATGTGGCTTCGAAAACAGATGGATTTTCTTTGTTTGCAATGGCGGGAAAAAGATTGCCTCCCAGCAAAGTGGTTTAGCACCACCGGCTGCCGCTGGATGCTCGCTTTCCCGGGTCGTGGCCCGTTCTATGGGAAGCAAACGACATCACTTTTCCAAAAAGGGGCAAGGTGAGAGCAAACTCGAGCTGAGCATCGATATGCAACTTTGTTGCTGCGCACCACGAAATAAGCATGCACTCCGCTTGGAACTTGGCCCTTCCGGTGGCTCGCCAGACCGAACATTCAAGATTCCGGATGAGGTAATGGCTGATAATCGCTGCATTTGGCTAGCTGGATCCCTTGTCGCCTGGGGAAGATAGCAAAGTCAAAAGCGTTAAAACCACATCTCATTGCTTGGGGTCTCGGTAGCTTCGTTCACCAACAGCCTGGACTGCGGTCTTCCTTCCGTCGAGGTACGAAGTCTCTGGCTTAGATCCGAGGAACGATGTTGGCTAAGATAAGCCCAAAAACTCTCAAATTATCCAGATTCCGTATTTCGATAATAATAACTAGCTCCAAGCTCGATGTGTGATGTAAGAGTTAAGATGTTGTTCCGCGGGGAAAATCCAGGGCCAACTATTGCCCTTACCTTCGCTGAAAATAGAGACAACCAGGGCTTTTCTGAGGCAGCAAATTTCCACAGGCTCTGTTGAAATCTTTGTTTCCGTCAGAATCTGGCCGTAATAGTGATTCTGATGCGCCTATATTTGCCTAGATTGGCTTCCCAAACCCAGCACCTTACTTCGGCATGTGCATCGGGAATTTTGATGCCTTTGGTTCTCCAAACCGGGTATCAGACGGAGGGAGAATAGCAGGACGCGTGGAATGTGGCTGCATTGGGCCAGCAGGGCGCCTCTATCCATATTCGCAACGAAGTTTGTCAAGGAATGATCTCCTGGTAGATCTCTCGCGACGGATAGCTCTCGTCTGGAGGTGGTGGAAAACAATTTTCAACTCCTGGCACCAGATTAACGCATCCGGCGGACGAAATCCACCTGCGATGAATACAGGTCACAGTCTCGTGGAGTCATTGTTGCGATCGACAAACATCCTGGAGGAAGCTCGATATTATTAATCTCGTGTTTCAGGCGAAGACTGACCAGGGACTCCCACACATTCTTGTTTCGTTTCAATCAACATGGGGCTCCTCGCCATTCACCCTGCCAGGCTGCCCGCGATCTTTGATTATTGCAGAACATGTGAGGGGTGTTCTCGAACACGACCCCAACCGGACTTTCTCATATCCTTGCTGGATACAGGCATGTTTGATTGACGCTCTCAACCCCCAGACGGGTCATCCGGAAGGGGAAGGCCCCCACCCGCTTTCAAATGAAGCTGAGTTACATATGAACTTCTGTATGGGTGTGCTCGTTGCATCGAGAGTCGTTGTGATCCACACCCACCGGCGCGAAAAGAAATAGCGCTTTCATTTCAAATTGATGGCCAACAATGAAGCAAACTCGGTCAATGCAGCACCTTGCCAGCCCAGCGATGCAGCTGAAGAAACGTGGATTCGCTTCTGTGGTATGCAACATGGCCAATTACATTTCAAAGGCGTAACTCAGTCGACTTCTTTGCAATTAGAATCACGGAAATATTAAGTACATATGTCCTGCCGTACATCCATGAAAAGTCTAGCCTAGGCAATCTGCAGCCTGCATGGCTCAGCCCGTTCTCGCTCAGTCCCAAGCTCCCTGGCTTCGAATACACGGGGTTTCTGTCCGTCCACACAGGTATCGGGCTGGAAGTGATTAATATTGATTAGTCGGGAAACAAATGCTTCTCAAGGACGCCTCAGTCCTTTACGAACAAGCAACCCCCGGCTGGTCTGGGATCCGGTTTTTGATGGTCGCATTTGCGAATCCAATTGTCGAGACGGTGACAAGTTACATCGTGAAAGTCGTCTACATATGTATCTATTTCTCCGGACGGAGTATTCGTAGCTGCAGGAGAAACTGCGCCATTTGCCAAGCTCATTCTTGAATGCCATTTCCAAGAGTGTGAGCGACCTCACAGTAGCAATTCACGTGAGACAGAGCTGATGTCCAATTTTGAAATGGCGAACTTGACGACCTGCATAAAGCGCCTCCGATAGTGACCCCGTAGGCTAGTCGCCAAGCGTCACGAAAAGAAGAAAGAAGGACGATTAGGGAAGAAGACTCCGAGAGGTCAGCCCCCGAAGCATCCTAGCCGCGTCCTCAGTACTCCCATAATATCATATCCATACTCCGTCCGGAGTCCAGTCATACATGTACGGAGTATGTATGTTACCTGCGTGATCTTCTGATTTGACAAAACGGTTCAACGAAAAAGGATGGTTTAATCATGATCGCCGGCTTTATTTTGGGACTCGCCAAACTCGTAAAACTGTGTCTGGTAATGCCCCGGTTCCGGGATGCTCCCCCCAACCGTCCAAGGAACAAGTTGGAAATCCAGCTGCCGAGGATGAACGAGAGTGCAAGATGCGAACGATGCTTGATCACCATCTTGGGCGCTTTCCGGAGCCACTTGTCGCTCCAGAGCAGGAATATCAGACAAGCCAGGATGATCTCCAGCGATCAGTCAAGCGCCCTGTCGCTTTCACGTGAGGCGTACTTTTCAGCAGATGAACTGATTCGAACAGCGACAAGCAACCAATCTCGTCTCACGCCTTGACCCTGGACCTGGACCAACGCGCGAAGACTTCTGGAAGAAAGGGCTGGGGTGTGTGGGCTCCACCCAGGTGCCCTCGCCAGCCCTTCCTTTCCAAGTGCCTAGCAACTCGCCCCTGTGATGCCAACGCATTTCGCCCTTCATAGTCAGACTGGGCAGCGAGTGGGGCGCCCACAGACCATGACTGGCCATGCGCGCACTAACTGGACCCCTGGGACTCTGGAAGTCGACCAAGGCAAATTCCTCCAAGCATGATTGGCCCGCCATCCAGCCACACTCGCAGTCTCTGGTCACCCTTGATGTTGTGACTTATGACGTGGGAACAAAAAAGGAGAGGGAGAAAAAAAGGAGAGGGAGAAAAAAAAAATATCACGGCATTTGATGAGGAACAAAGGAGTCTCACCATGCAGTGCAACAACCAGCAAGAAATATTCTGGTGGCCCTAGCTTCGACTGCATCGATCCTCGCCAATGACAACAGGGCGGTTTTTATTGGAGAACACGAGAAGGGATTCGCTCTCCCCAATCAATCTTCCGTGGCATTGGGAAGACGAAAATGTCCTCGTGCGCAATTTTGCAGCTTTGACAGGTTGGTTCTTGATATTTTCCGGATAGTTGATTGAGCGGCATTCTCCGGACACCGTCATGAATCATGTAACCTTTTTCCCTCGTTAACTATTGACAGCGATGTGGCCATATTAGGCATGACATAAGCACGGGGGAAAGGCTGAGTGGCGGGTAGCTACGCGTTCTGCTAATTGCTCTTTGCCGGCATGGAAATGGCCCTGTCCCATGGTTGAGACCGGATCATCGTGGAAGCGAAGAAGTCGCACCCGTATGGGCTGTTTGGCTTCAAGGAGAATAGTTCCCAGAATCCTGTGCACTGGTTCCAGATTCGCGAGGCTTTCCAGAGCAAATGGTCAGACTTATCCACGGCTGACCAATGGCCGGACTCATCCGCCGCCTGGGGAGAAGCGAACTCAAAAGCAGCAAACGAACCATCTGATTTGCCACAATCTTACGCATCAGCGCTGCCTTTCTGTGACGCCATCTTTGTGCGCTTGAGCGTCTTACCGCCTGCCCACCCTCCAGAAATAGCAGGGGGACTGTGCGGAGAAAGGTGCGTTTGGTTAGTGCCAGGAATTTTATGACACGAGCCCACGCAAATGGCCGCGCGTGAAGATCGCGATGCGCCAGTGAGATTCAGCCCGAGGATGGGACAAGGGGGCTGACGTGCATATGGAGGCAGTGTGATGAGAAGTACGCTTGGTGTTGCAGTGTTACTCGACTTTTAGGCCTGCGGATTCTCGCACAACCAGTCACAAGTCGGTTTCCAGCTGCCTTGACGATACGACCGCGAGCACAAAGAGCTTGATGCAAGGCCAAGCCACGCCTCCAAAGGGAAAACCGTCACATCGCCAGGCGGCTAGGGAGCCCACTTGGAATCATGGCCTGTGTGTGGATGGCTACAGTAGCTGTGGGTTTTCTGACTAACTCCTAGCATGACCTTTTTCTCCTTGGTTGCCCACGGCCAAAACACCATGCCGCTCTAATTGCCCTTGCCTCCAATCAAGAGGGAGGTCATGCCGATAAGGGCAGACTAGTCTTTTGACTTTGGAGTATTTTCCTGTTGTATCCCCGCCTCTGGGTCCGTCCTACACCCGACAAACAGGAGACAAGAAGGGTGACCCAAGAGCAAAGTTCCCAGACAAACACCTCCCTTCGGAGAGGTCAAACTCTCCGTGAACTGCTTGCTCCTCCTAATAATCCCCACGCCACCAGTGGTTATCTCTCGATCTCGTCCAATCATAGTCACATGGCCAGTCCTTTTCTGACAGGCAGAGAGACTGGCTATCATGAGCGACTTGTCCATCAACGCAAACGTCGGTCACTTCCTCTGGCCATGATTCTAAACTTTAGGTGTTTTGGAACTCCTTACGACCCGAGAAGGCGAGGCTGAAGATCCTCTTGATTTTTAGTTATATTTTTATTTTTTTTTTTTTTCCTCTTCTCATTGTTTTGCCGCATTACAAATCGTATCCCTCGGAGAGTCGGGATGGCGAAATTCCTTCACTCTGGATGCTCCTGGAATGTTCAAGTGAGTTGCCGGGAATTATTCTTGAAACTGGGATGAAGTCTAGTCAAAAATGCTGTAGATAAAGTTGGTTCGAAGAGAAAGTTCATCAAAGGGATGATGGCCAAAGAAGGCCATCGTATTTCCAGAGTGGCTAGTTTAGCGCTGGCAAAAGGCAAAACAACTGGCCAGGTTGCACGGTTGAAAGGTTGATTTGGTCGCTGGGGTCATGCTTCCCTTCTGTCACAGAGAATAAATCATACATCCACAACAGTGCAGATAAGCGGAAAAAAAAAAGTCTGAAATGTCGAAAAAAAATTGGAGCGGGTCCCACAGCATACGGAGTCAAATACGGCTGCATCTTTCAATGCGCCATCCCGCCATCTGTTTGACCCACGCCCCAGCTAGTGGGCACTGCAGGGAGGGTCGCTAAGAGTGAATGAAATACCGTCCAAGCCAGGTTTGGCCCATCGAGACTCCGTATTTCGAGATGATTCGCTATAAAGGAAAGCCCAGCATAACAAGGCCAGAGGTCCAGTGAGAAATGTTTCTTTTTTGGAGACTTTTTTTTTTCTCTCTTGCTTGAGTTAAGCCGACTAATGCCACTCGCATCCTTGCCCTTTTGAGAGTACTTCCTCAAAATCCTCCAACTGCGATCATTGATAGCAGGGGTTCCATGGTCCCGCTTCGGTATTATTTGTGGCCTGGTTCCGCCTTGTTGGTGAGCGGATGGCAAAAGGCCAGTCAGCACCGGCGGCACCAAGAGCCGTCGCTATTTAGAACATGAGCCTTCGCCCACATGCTCCGTGACTTGTGCTGGATCTCTCGGGCTAAACCGCTTGCGGTTCATGACGGCTTTTTCGCTCCATCGCCCGTCCCCAAGAACTTACTTGCTGTGTTGCCTCCGCCTCCCTTTTTTTCGTCCCAGCTACCAACACATCATCGGCTCACGTCCTCGCAGATTGGCTGTGCGGTGGTGGTCGCCATAAATCGGTCATACCTCTCCATTATTGTTTTATATTACTCCGTTCCCTGCCTCTCCCTTCCCATTACATCTAGATCTGGTCTTCCCAAAAGTCCATCATCCCCACTTCTTATATTATCAACGGCATCACCTTTCAACTGCTATTTTTCTCTTTATACATTTATTTATTATTATTCTTTTTTTCCCCCTAATCCCTTGGATAATATTGCTGTTATTTACCTTTCACACACCATCATCCGACATTTCTTCTAGCTGGACTTGCACACACTTGGGCGACCTCCCCGTTTACACTCCTTTATACAACATTCTTGGCGGCGAAACATCACCCATACTCCCATGTCTTTTATCTGAGGATCAGGATCCTTCCCTGTTCAATCTTGGAATTGAGGTGGTTATTTCCATCTTCTCCCTACGGTGCATCTCATCTGGCCATAATATTTTTACAAGGAAACCAAAAAGAAAAAAAGGAAAAAAGAAAAAAAAAAGGCGCATACCAAACCGTGTTGCTCCAGCAAGATTTTGATACCCTATACTTACCTGGCAAATATCACGTTTACATTCACACGCGCACCACAACCACTCTTGGCCACTTGATCATGCTTCCAACACCACCACAATCACCACCCCCAATATCTTTCTGCGATGCACCAGAGGACAGGTTGGGGCTGCTGCTTGCCAATCGGTTAGAGCTCACGGGCATTCTTGGGGTAGGTGCCTATGGCGTGGTCTACTCAGCCATTGACATCCAGACCCATGTGCCCTATGCCGTCAAGGCGCTCAACAAAGCCGGCCTAGATCCCAGACAGCGCAAGTTTCAGCAGAGGGAGATCAAGCTTCACCACCTGGCGAGCCATCATCCCAATGTGGTTTCTTTGGTCCGCATCATGGATTCGCATGACTGCACTTTTGTTGTGCTTGAGTTCTGTCCCGAAGGTGATCTGTTCTCCAACATCACCGAGAGAGGCCAGTTTGTGGGAAATGATTTCCTCGCCAAGCGGGCATTTCTTCAAATTCTGGACGCCGTGGATTTCTGCCACTCTATCGGAATCTATCACCGGGATTTGAAGCCTGAGAATATCCTGGTTACAGACCATAGTATGACTGTTAAGCTTGCGGACTTTGGCCTGGCTACAACCGATTCTTTCACATCCGATTTTGGTTGTGGATCTACGTTTTATATGTCTCCTGGTGAGTATCCTGTCCAAGCTGTAGGTGGGAAGCAAACAAAAAGCTAATAATTATGAGTAGAATGCCAGCAATCTAATTCGACACCGTACGCCTCTGCTCCAAACGATGTATGGAGTCTTGGTGTCATTCTTGTCAACCTTTGCTGTGGCCGAAATCCCTGGAAAAAGGCCTCTCCTGAGGATTCTACCTTCCATGCCTATCTAAAGGACCGTGAATTCCTCAGGACAATCCTTCCTCTGTCGCCTGAGTTGAACTCGATTTTGAAACGCATTTTTGAATGCGATCCTCTGAAGAGGATTACACTCCTGGAACTCCGCAAGTTGGTCCTGGAATGCCCAAGGTTTACTGTCCGCTCGGGCTGCAACGTTCCTATTACGCCACCATCTCCGTGTTCTAGCTATGAGTATGCCAAGGCACAGTTTAGCTATGCGCAATTTAATCCTTATCCTCCATCACCGGTGGAACCGATCGAAGCCGAGTACTCCAGCTCCGCTATCTCCGATACTTCTTTGACCGATGACGACTCCTCTGTCTCCTCCTCTTCATCTTCGGAATACGCCCCTCCAAGCCAGCTGAACCAATTCAAGTTTGTTCCTGCGACAATCCCACCCAATTATTGGGGTTCGTTTATTCCAATTGTTGGGGATAAGCCTGCAGTCCGCCAATGCCACCTCGAGCCGATGGTGGCTGTGTGCTAAATGCATCATGGCATCCCAGTTTCGACATAAACCCTACACATCCTCAACTGATTTCCGCCCTGGTGACCACGGTATTGCTTGGCAGCTTTGTCCCAACTTGCTCCAGGAAGGCACATGATTTTGATAACGAATTTCTTTCTTTGCTTGCTCTTTGCCATGGATCGGAGTTGGACGAGTCCTTACATATCCGTTTTCCTTTAGGAGGATCCAATTTTTTTTTTCCGGTTTCGAAGACAAACTTTCCACTATGTTCGAAGCTCTTGTTCGATAATAGCGATTCTACCTGGTGGTTCATGTCCCTTTTTGTCTCGCCATGAGGTCTATTTTTTCAACTTGGCGACATTGTTATTTTGCTTCTGATTCACCTTCTCTTTATCTCTACACGGTTCACTGTTCGATACGACGTTGTAATATCTCTTAGCCATCATTCTGGAGGTACTCTTACGGTTTTGGGAGGTTCAAAGTGAAGGGCGGCTTTATGATTTCGGCGTTGGGACCTTGGAATGAACACAAAGGTGCATTAAGGAGTTTTTAAGTCTTGGTTGTTTTCCCTTTGCTTTTGAGTTACTCGGTTTCAGAACTTTTGACTAGAAGGAAAAGGCGCATGTTCCCGTGAGCTTTTTGGAGGGCCGTTTCGATTCGCATCTTCGATTCTGCTGCTGTCGTTATAACACTGATACCCGGAATGTTAGTTACATTCTTCTCAACACTTATATGTCACTCTTAGTGCTTTTGCTTCGAGATGATCATACATATTTTGCGGTCAAAGCGCAACCCCGTTTACTTCTCATCTGTATATAGCGACTTGAAAGTCATTGTACACACATAAATACATGGATCAGGACACCTTTCTTGTCCGCGCTCGTTGCGATGGTAATCCTTATTTTAGAAATAATTGAGCCTAATTGTTTGCTGGTTATTCCCAGACTCCATGAAGCCTGTACGCGGAGGCTTTGCTCTCATTTGTCATCGCCGATTTTCCCGCTCTGTTGGTTACAATCGTTGGCTCGTTCCGGCCCCTAGAACGGAAACAAAAGACCAGCAGCGCCTCAATTTTTTCATTTCCCGCGTCCGCTGGTTCCATTTATACTTAACCTTCAAACCAGCTAAAAGCTCCGGGAAGAATCTTCTCTTCTTGAAATAGCAATCGGCCGAATGGCTGCCCCGTACATACTGGGACCCAAGTTGATCGAGGCGGACGGATGCGGGCGACTTTGTGCTGGCGTGCTCTGTAGGGGGTTGGTCTTTGGTTTGAAGACTCATTTCGGGTTGCGGTTGAACTGTTACCTGTCCGCTCGTATATACGGGTGGGGAGGCCGTTGTACGGAGTATTATGCTAGGAATCCAAGCGTATTGGACGGGCGGAAGAGCGGGCGCAACGATGGAAGAAGTTTTGGGATGGTCAGGAACGTGCTTGAGGGCGTGTTGGGCTGGATGGGGCTGCTGCATCCATCGCTGCTGGGCTTGTCTCTGAAGGCAGGATGAGATGAGAAAGGTTGGTTTGGTGGAAATCCTTTCTGTCCCTGCCAGCCTTTACTTGGCTAACAGTGCGGCTTGCAGCCTTGCAGCCGTGGTTTGGCCTCATGGGGGAACAACTGCACGGCCGGGAGGCTGAGGTGTTGTCGTTGGCTCGATCCCCACCGCGACAAACTCTTCCCGGTCCAGACACTCCATGATGGATCGCCCGGGTTTGTTGGACAGCGAGGAACATCGGTGCCGTTGAGCACAAAGTCACTCCACAATGAAGCTTCTCCCTGCAGGCTTGTGGCCAGGTACTTCTCTCGCCGCCTCGTTTCTGTATCTTCGATGTACCCATACCCATTCCGTCCCGCTTTGGCATGCTACCTGTCAGCCCTGGCTCTCAGACGGAAAGGAAAGGCTCAGATCGTGTCTTGGCCGAGAGAGACGGTAAGGAAAAAGGCAAGATTTGACGATTTCGCACCAAAGTATCCATGAAACGCCAAACTAGCCTCTTTAGAATGCACGTATGCACGAATCGTCCGACTGGGCGAGAGAATCCCACCGACCCGCCGACCAAACGTTCCAGACGATGGTGTAGTTTGACGCTGCGAGTTTTACCATGCACGATGACGGATTCTGCCGGTTTGATAATCCTTCCACGCCGCTGCTGCAGTTGGATTGGACCTGACCACAGAACGGGTATCTTTCCCTTGAACGTGCGAGCCTCGTCTGGGGGCTTTTGTATGGATCTGTATGGTGTTGAGCCGACGGGGTCGAGTGCAACGAAACCCCAGCCCGTCTCCCAGTATCGTATCCATACCCGCACTCTTCCGTTACTCCGTGCACGCATTCATATTATATGTACTGTACAGAAATGCAACAGCAAGGAGGGAGAAGCATCGCCTCAAGAGCTAGGGAGCAAAGCAGGGAGATTCCACCCAAGACAACGGGACGAGCGGCCCCAACCGGACTGCCCTGCGTGTCTCGACTTCGATACGTCGATTTCCTTTGCGCTCGTTTCTTTGACAAAATCCTTGCTTCGAACGCCCCTCATGCTGCTTTCATCCATGAGCAACCATCGCGACCAACAAGACGGGATGTGTCGGCCCCCTTCCCATCCTGCACCCTCTCCTTGGATGGAGCTGGTCAAGTGATACTCATCTCGGACCTTTTCAGTTAACTATACGGGATTCTGGGGTTACGGTGAGATCTGCGGATCCCGTACAATTGTCGATCGCGCGACATTAAAGGGAGCTTCTGAAGATCTTTGCCCTTCTATTCGATGCAGAATGGATGGGTAGGTTGTGAGCTGGAGGTGGGATCTGTTTTGTCGAAGTAACCCATCGATTACAAGGATTCACCTGGGCAAGTTATTATTTTCCTGCTACGCCGAGAGAAGGCATTGTCTTTTCTTTTTCTACTTCATTGAGGCCTGGAGGAGATGCGGTCAACGGATCTGTGAGAATCCAGCGTTCCTCTGCGCTACACGCCTTGAATTCTAACGGCGACACATGGAAAATGCCTGCTTCAATCTGAAACCTCGATTTACGTACTGGCTCTCAACGGAAACCGGGGGATCTGCTGGCATCCAAGGATAGTATTTACAGATCTCCATAGGGGTTGCAAGTTCCATTCGTGCCTTAGGGACGTTGCTTGGACGATAAAGATACCTTGCGCATTCATTGCGCAGAGGAGCCGAAGACAGACATCCAGCGATAAGCTAGCCCTCTTTCTGACAGCAGTTGACAGATACCGAGACTCAGAATGGAAATATTTACTCTGTATCACCAAATGCGAATATCCGCATACGACCTATCGAGCTTGGAGTCTGAAAGCCATTTCCGGGATGGACTTGGTGCGCAAATGAGCTTTATTATTATTATTGCTGCCTGATCAGTGTCCCATTGGCCTTTGTCCGATATTCATGCATTGTGACACACAACAGATATATTGGAAGTGGTATTACATCACTGATATTTTTGTGTGCAGCATCTACTTTAGAGGATGGAGTCCGCAGAATCCACTCATCCTTAGCGAGTAGCATTTCACGGTTGACCGAGCTTCACCGCTCAACCTTTATTTGCCTTTTCTTTCGTCCTTTGTCTCTTATTTTCAATGCTATGTAAGGCTGATCTCGAAGATGTGCGTATAGCCGTGACGTCGCCCTTTGCCCGAGGTACAATGTTTCATTTTCGATCGCCCCGTGTTACAATGGGCCATCGACGGAATTGGAACACCACTATTGCACGACATGGAAGGTATCGCGTGACTACGGGAGTGAAAGGCCTATTATCAACCCGAGCCATGCCCTTGACATTAAAGGCCGATGCAATTTTTGATAGACTCTTATCGCAACTTGTCTTTTCGCAATTGCCCTGCTGTGGAAAATTTGGAAGCCTTTTTGAGATTCTGGGAATACAGAAGGCTAGCCTGATCGATGAGCGAAGACGAGTTGAGTTCCTGCAAGAACGCTGCTCTTATCAAGAAATTTTTCTCCTAATGGAATAAATAAGTGCTGCGGGGTTCTAAGTGATACTTAGGACGCGGAGGCATGCATAACAAGTATCTACGTAAGTTCTTGTTATCTGGAATGCTTAGACAGTTGACGTATATTCCAAAGTGATCATATGGGGGCACTTGTCGGCGCCAGCAAGGCAAAATCATGGCATTAACAGACTTAAGGGAAAGGATTTGTTACATATTTCGTCCACCAGTGACCATGATAGTCTGGCCGTTGACATAGCTCAACAGTGGGCTAACAACTCCCAAAATGGATCTCGCTGCTTCAGTAGGAGAAGCCGGTCGCCGAAGAGGGATATCAGCATACTTTTCCTCATTGCCGCCAACCTTCGTAGACAGCTGCTTTGTTGGGATGCCAAGAGAGACCTTTTCTCCATCAGCAGTGGTGATGAAGGCACCGGCCTCTTTGGCTTGAGTAAGACGGGTGAGAACGAAGCCAAAGGCGATCGTGTTGGCGCGGACGCCGAATTGAGGACCCCACTCTTTGGCGATAGTCTTGGTGAGACCGACCAAACCGGCTTTGGCGAAAGAGTAGTTCGCTTGTCCCCTGTAATTTGTATGATTAGTTATGCGTTCTAGGATGGGAGGGGGATGGGGAGGGCACGAACGCATTTCCGTTGATTCCGCTAGTGCTGCTGATGTTGACGATGACTCTGGATTCTCCGTCCTTAACACGGAAGTAGGGGGCGGCGGTTTGAACGAGTTTAAATGGCGCGGTTCCGTGGACAGCAACCATCTTGTCCCATTGCTTATCAGAGAGCTGGGGCCAGCCGTCAGCGAGATTCTCTTGCCATCATCGATAATTCGGAGAGAAGCCATAAAAGTATGGGATAGCCTCACCTTGTGAATTACACCGTCCCATGTGTATCCTGCGTTATTCACGATGATATGAATCTTCCCGTTTCCAAACTCCGCGGCTTTTTGCACGAGCCTCTTCAAGTATTCTGAATCGGTAACATCTCCAGCCACGGCGATGGCGCGCCCGGGACTCGCATCATTGATGGCCTTTGCAACCGTCTCACATTTCTCTATTTATTCCCAAAGGGGAAAAAGCGGACTCAATCAATGCCATTGCCACCTAAAGCCGGGCGTATCTGAAAAATTGGCGTGGAATCATGGATGACATACGAGCATCAAGATCCGCAACCACAACTTTAGCACCCTCATTTGCAAAGAGACGAGCGGCTTCAGCGCCGATTCCTTGGCCGGAACCTGTAATAATTGCTACCTGCCCGTGGAGCATACCCTGAGGGTAGTTCAGGTGTGAGGACACCTGGGATAGGCGGTCTTGTGGAGCCATTGTGTACGGGGTATATATATGGGGTATCTGCACAGCTCAACTGTGTAAACAGTTATCACGATGAAAGAAAAGAGAAGCGCAGGGGTTTTTAACGATAATCGAGAAAAGGAAGAATAATAGAAAAGCAAAAGCGTTGAAGTCGAGAAATGCGTCGGTATTTCTGTCGGTCTCGAAGCTCCCCAGACAACCATTTAGCCCCGGATTTCAAGATGCCGAGGCCTGTAATTGCCGTGCTCGCTGCTCTCTCGGCGCCCAATGAAGAGCGCTGTTGGGCTTGAAATCACCGAGGTTTTGGTGCCAAGAACCGGAATCCTAGGGACAAGCGAGGAACCAACTTGAGGAGGTTCATCACCGTTGAACGCGGACAAGATGGATGCAGGAGTACCATGCGGGATGAACGAAAACAGTGACAGATAACTCATATGTGCAGAGCTCTCTATTAACATTAGGTAGTTGTCGCTCCAAGAGGAGAAAGTCTAAGTCTAGTCCGTCTACTAATCCAAGCTGCGATCTAATTTCAACCAGCGCAAGCCGGCGCAATACCGCTATGCCGATAGTCGAACGCCTCCAGCAACCCCGTTAAATGCGCATACGCCGCCAGCACGACCAGGACATGGAAGATCTGATGGGAATGCCCGAGAATATCAAATTTCCCGGGCCACAGCCTCTCTGGAACCCGCATCGCATAGATCGCTGCACCTAGAATATACAAGAACCCCTGCAGCAGCAACCACCAGAGCCCAATCTGCCAACGCATCTGTGCGAATCCAAAGACGGCAACCCCGTGTACGAGAGGAAACACAGCAGACAGTCCCATTGAAACGAACATCGTCGCTCGAAACGGTCGCCAGGCGGGCGTTCGGAAACGAGGAATCGTGGAAACGATGGCGCAGCCGAGACCTAACGCACAGATCATCGACCAGTAAAGTATTTGCAGATTTGGCATGCAGTAGAAACCGTAATATATACTGGGGATGAAACTACCCGTGATGAGGCCCACGATCCCGACATAGTCGCATGCATTGCCGATGTACGCCACCAGCGGAGAGTGGTTGGAAATTGTATGGTAGAGGGCGCTCATCCCAAGACAAAACGCTGCACCAGCAAAGAAGCAGCTAAAAGCAGCTACATCTGCATGGTTTGCGGTCTCATATCGGGCGGAAATGGCTCTGTAGATGGTGAAGGAGAGAGGGATGGATAGGAGAGCTGGAAAAAGGTGGGAGTAGATGTTCACTGTCTCATTGTGGATGTAGCCTAGCGATTTGAAGCTTTTCACAAAAGACTCAGAGGCAGGCCGATAGCCAGTGTGGATGTGCTGGTTGTCGCGGAGCCAATGCGGTAGATCATCCCAGTGAACAGTCCTGACAGTTGTTTTCACGACCTTTGTTGCTGTGACTGTCCCATCCGCTGATTCTGCCTCTGTTTGGATGGTAACTTGGCGGCGTTGCACAGCTGATACCTCAGCCCTCAATCTTTCCATTTGGATATCCATCCATCCAGTGGAAATTCAGCTCTCTGGTGCGATCCTAGGTCTCCCGTTGCTGCTGAGAGAAAAGAGCCCGCAGCTTCAAGAAGTAAAACGTGACGCTGTTGCAAACAGAGCAAACAAGAGGCACGCCGGGGAAACTGCATCCACGTCTAGCGGCCGGATGCTCAAAAGGCCAACAGCAGCGGAAGAAGTGTCTCTCCTCTTCAACCATGGATTTCATATTGTCTCCAAGAAAGGGGTTGCAGTTTGACTGGGTATCTCAGCAGTTACGAGGACTAATGCGCCGGATGAGTTGAAAATGGCGCACAGAGCTGCACACTCAAGGTCGGGCTCAGGATGGGGCCGCCAGAGACAGCTGAAGCAGCCGTCAGATCCTTTGGAACAGGCCGGATTTGTATCCAAAGGAGACAGTTCGTAAGTTCCTATTATGACTTTGCCAGCATATATTTGATCAATGGAGCGGAGCTGATACGGGATCTAATTGTAGACTTCTTGACGTCAAGGCCCAGGAATCATACTTTAGACTCATTATGGATCGGTATGCTCAGTTCTGCAGGGACAACTCCGGTAACCTAGATGCAGCCTTCGCATCTCTGCCTAGAAACCCTTCGGATGACGCGACCAAAAATCCACCTGCAAATTTTCAGAAGACAGATTCAAAAAAGCAGGCCACTCAACCCATTCTACGAGCAGCCAAAGAGCTCTCAACCATCCTAGTTTCCCTTCGAAAACTGAGAGAGGCTATCCTGGCTACAGCTTCAAAAACACCAGTTCCTTTCTCTCAAGATGTACATGTATTTTGCGTTCGGACCGCTCTCCTTGCGGCACATCCACCTTCTTACTACCCTCCATTGGAGCGGTTGTTGAAACAACTTCACACGCCGGTGAACCCCCTCGGTACCTCAGCTTTGAACGAGTTCGTAACTTATCTCATCCTCGATTATGCTTGTCGCCAAGGCGATCTTGCTGCTGCTTTCCAATTACGCGAAAGGGCAAAAGTAAAACTCGCATACCAGCACGACTTGGTGGACTGTGTCCTTTCCGCTCTGACACATGATAACTGGGTCATGTTCTGGAGAGCCAGAGAGGATGGGGATGGCTATGTCAGGTCGCTGATGGATTGGGCAGCGGATAGCATGCAGCTTCGTGCTCTCAAGGCCATTGGAAGGTCGTACCTTACGGTAGAGATAGGCTTTTTAGTTGAATCTTGCACCGGCCGAAAGGATGGCTGTACATGGGAAGAGCTGGCGCAGAAATATAATCTCGGTTGGAAGAAAGAAGGCGATAGAGTGATCATAAGGGCTAGAAAACAGGCTATTGGTAATGCGAAGCCGATCGCAACTTGAGAGTGGAAGTTGTGCAATCATGAGTAGGCGTTCCCTCGGCGCATTTAAGGTCCAAAGCTACCCCCAGTTCTGCAGGAATACGCAACAACGGGGTTTTGGAGTATGGTGTCGCAATAATGTCAATTCGTTAGATCGTTGGTGGCTGGGGATCGTTCCAATTCAATTCGTTATTTTAAAGTCTGAATTTGGCCGCTCCCAGTTGATATCTCTCGATGGCGCATGCTTGGAAATTTCCTGCGTTAGATCGAGTTTGAGATTTTGTGAATTCTCCGAGCAAAGTTCGTAGATTGTTGAGAGGTTAAACGTGAGGCTCTGAAAAGATTTGTTGCTTCTGATGAGAGACTCGAGTATTTCCCTTGACTTTTGACGATCAGCGAATCCGCCCAAACGAAGAAGACAATGTATGGAGTTACCTCATTGAGCTTTCCTACATAGAGTAGGCACACTGCTAGATTTTGTGCGACCAGGGTTTCATCCTCTGTTATCACTTGATGTTCACGTAGATTTCTCCATTCGGTGACGGCATCGGTGAATCGACCTTCCGCCATGCTTAGCAGAGGACCCAGAATACCACCTGATACATTTGGAGAGCTTTCCAACAACACCCTTGCCGCCTCTATGTCCCCGATCCTAAGATGTAGAAGCACCATTCTCGCGATCTCTAAGCCATTTGCTTGCGGGACCTTCATGCTTGCCAGCGATCGCCGCGCAGCCTCCAAATCGCCCATTTCTATCAATGTATTGACGGCTCGGATGCCCAGGTCGCCTAGCCGTTCTTTCCACATATTCTTTTCCTCGTGCCCGATCTCTGGACGCAATATCTGCGTCCTGGCCTCCAGACCAAGCTCATATAATCCCGTGATCCCTCTCCTTGCGTCACCAAAACCGATACTCTGCAGCCGCACGGCCAGAACGCGGAGTGGCCATGGCACTACGTGTTGAGATCGGCTACCCGTGTCGCTGTCAAGGTAGTAGAATGCTGAACTAAGATCCTCCAGTGCCTTTACTTCTTGAGCTGCAAGCAAGGTATTTCCGCAGAGCTCAAGACAAGCCAGACGGGTATAGAAAAGTGAAAATATACTTGAATGATCGTTTGAGGATATTATGGGAGATGTTAAGATTGCCGCCGAGAAATGTGCCGCTAGGAGGAAATGTCCTTCACTTAACAAGTCGTCCAAGATTAATAGGGCAGAGTGTAGGGATGCGTTCGGGGGCAGCGCTCGAAATTCCGAACGAAATGCGGGCGGTACTTCTAATTGTGAGAGGGGATGGTAGATGTCCCGTCGAAGAAGGAACGAGAAGCTCTTGTCCACGGATAACGTGGGGGTTGATGGCACCGATCCCCTCGTAGACGAAGTTGACTGGCTTGCACTATGGCTGGTTCGCGTTTTGGGGGGATCACCGCTCTGTTTGGGGCTTTCTACGGTTCTATCAGTCATTAGGATGATCCCGCCTTTGGAGGAGATACGAGAGAGAGGCGCATACTCGTCTGGCATATCTAAAGGGCCTTTGGTAGAGCTTCGAGGGCGCGTAGCTGAGGAAAAGTCAGCTCACAAGAACATATCGGGCAAATGGCATCACTGGGGTAGCATCAATGCACAGTGGGGAGGTGTGCGATACTGACCTCGCAGTGACCTGTTACGCCGATGCTTGGGGCTCGGGGTGTCCATTGTGACGATCTGTGCGTGTGTAGTAAATTATCCTTTAACTGCTTCACTCTGAGCATTTCCATCCACTCAGAACATGTTCCTTGGTGTGTTCTTTTTCCCCCTCCATCACATAGGCATGCGGGGAGAGCTGCAGAACCATCATTCCGCACCGACGACTTCACCAGCCCAGCTGCTGGTACTGCCAGGCGGTGACTGCACGGGCCACATTACCCCCTTAAATTGCCCGCCAATTAGCGGCCCTTTACGGAGTACATAAACTGATCTCCTGGGGAATCTGGTTTAATACACGTCAGGAGGGATTGTGTGCTCAAGGCTTTGTTCATGGTCATCGCATCGGTTGACGTGTAAGCAGGAGATTCCGCATGCCAAATCGTGGTCCTCGATACCGGCCATCGCTTGAAGTTCTCCATCAGAACTCGGTCCTCGAACTCCACGAAACACGTCAACCAAAACTTCACATAATGGCGCCCCCGAACAAGTACTCCGTTATCCTTCCCACCTACAATGAGCGCAAGAATCTGCCAATCATTTGTTGGCTGATCGAGAAAACCTTTCGCGAGAAGTAAGGCGCCCTCGCTATGTACTTTCAGACTCACTCCGGTCTTCATCCCCAATCGCTAACGTGTCCCTTCCGCTCCCATAGCAACCTCGATTGGGAGGTCATCATTGTTGACGATGCGTCCCCCGACGGGACCCAAGAAATTGCAAAGCAGCTTCAGGGGCTGTGGGGCGAAGACCACATTGTTTTGAAGGCCCGCGCAGGAAAACTCGGCCTCGGGACCGCCTATGTTCACGGCTTGCAATTCGTCACTGGCAACTTTGTTATCATCATGGACGCCGACTTCAGCCATCACCCCAAGTTTATCCCCGAAATGATCAAAATCCAAAAGGAAACCGGCTGTGATATAGTTACGGGAACAAGATACGCGAACCGTGACCACTTGCACGGCGGTGTCTATGGTTGGGATTTAAAACGCAAGCTGACTTCTCGTGGCGCAAACTTGATCGCGGATGTTATGCTGATGCCTGGAGTGAGCGATCTGACGGGCAGTTTCCGTTTGTACAAGAAGCAGGTGTTGGAGAAAGTTATCAAGAGCACTGAGAGCAAGGGCTATACATTCCAGATGGAAATGATGGTTCGGGCAAAAGCAATGGGCTACAAAGTGGAGGAGTGTCCTATCACCTTTGTTGATCGTCTCTATGGAGAGAGTAAACTTGGTGGAGAGGAGATTGTGGAGTATCTCAAGGGGGTCTTCAGCTTGTGGTGGAAGGTCTAAATACCTATCATGTCTCGAACGAATTCCAATACCCTTTTTATTTCTTTTTCGCATTTCTGGATGGCGAACTGGTGCAGCGGGTTTCAGGGAAATGGAAATGTACAACGCAAGGGATTCATGTTTTCTTAGTAGATACTTCTAATGATAATTCTTTGGAATAGTGACACTGATGGAGATTAACTCTCACCGTAATCCATCATTTTGGTGAAATCGACCCTGGGACAAGAGCGAAACCCGGAAGCCAGTTGCTCAGAGCTTTTCCATCTTGTTCAAATATCGTTCAACTCTTGATACGAGTTCCTTCCTCGGCTCTTCTTGAGTTCGTCCGCTCGGCGAATGGAATGCACCTGCGACTAAGCCACTAGTCGTATCCCATATATCACGACCGCCAGCGCCTTGTTTAGTTGCATTTTCCCATCTCTCAAGTAGCATCTCTTTGTTGACCCACATCGGGACGTATTCGTCCTCCTCCCCAGGTAAGACGAGGAGTGAGCCTTTCAGCATACCCCTAGAACCAATTGCACCAAATGTTTGCAGTAGTCGGTCGTCATTAAGGTCAGAGCTAAATAGGTCGTCTTCAAGGGGCGATTCAGGACTGTCTGGGCTTGTTATGCTTAGAAACCGGTGACTAGATAATGGGACATCATGGGGATATCCTAGCTGAGCCGTGGCTGCTAAAGGCAATGCCGTGTCCATGTTACCAGCAGCGACATTCGCCTTTGCTAGAGCGACGAGCTCGTTGTATACTTTTGTCAACGCCTCTGAGGTAGCACTACCGGTTCCGAGAGTTTGCAAGAGATACTCTCTGTCTGATACCGGTGCCTGAAGGATCGCTCCGTCAACTGGTTGTCGTTTTAACCCAGATCCTGCCTGGAGTGGATTTGGGGAATAGAGATAATGGAGGACATCCTGGCTGCCAGTGGAGTGGCCCATCAAAGCAATCATCCCCGGCTTATCGTGACCCCGACCGCCTTTATATCGTCTCACATATGCAACACAGCTACCAATTTCTTCAATATCTCTGTCTAAAGTCGACATGCCCCATCCGCTATAGGAAGACGAAAGGAGCACTGAAAAGACGGACCACTTGGTCGGCTCAAGGGCTTTGGCTATGTCATTGATAAATGGGACTGTCCCCAAGCCATCTGACAGCCCTGCGATAAAAAGCAGCGTATGAGGCTTAAGTTCTGGGGTTGAGCCTCCATGTTCAAATGCGCACAGCTTGTCTAACTGCACTCTCATAGTGGTATCAGCTTGGACCTGGGCCATTCGATGAAGCGAGTATCCCGTGGCTTCTTACATAGTGGTGCAGAATCCCGAGGCGAGGACTGGGAGTGGGCTGTTGATCCATGATAGTTTAAGCCAGAGTCCAATTGGATTACGCTTCTCTTGTCAATGGAATATGACCGTTCGCGGAACTAAGATTGTTGTCGTCTCCGTTACGGTATAGAGGCGGTGGGGTTGACACGGAGGTTCTCTTGATTAGTCATCGCAGCCATGATTCTGATGTCACATACGTACGAGAGCACCCCAGGGACTTTGGACCTTTTGCTGGTTGAAGTTATCGCTGCTGGATGTGGTAACAACGCTGTTGACTTTGCTTTTTATTCACTGGGTTCTGCGCAATTGAAGCTCAGGTGTAGCGAACGTCCAGCAGAAAAAGACGTCTCACGTCTCAAAAGCTTTGAAATCAGAGCCTTACCCGCCCAAGAAAAATCTATTCCTACGTTGTGAACGCATACCTGCTAGGTATGGTTGATAATGGCGCCACCGTTAGCACGACGATCTGGCCGGCTCCGCAGAGCTGCCCGCAAGTACACAGATGACGCTTTTCAAGCCGTAGGACTAAGTCCGGATAACTCTGGATCTGAGCATCTGGCGGCCGAAGAGCTCCAAAATGCTCATGCGTCGGATGAAGACTTTGTAATGGGTGAGGATAACGAACAAGCTGCTGCTGAGGAGGAAGATGGTAGGAAGCCCCTATCGATGTACTCTGGGGGAAATACTGACAGTGAACAGATTTCGATGATGAAACAGGCTCTGTTGTAGGGTTAACTTTTGATAAAACAGAGCAGGCTGAGCGCAAGCTGCTAGCCAAACTAGATAGGGACATGACACATTCCCGAGGGTTGCTTAAACCTGCTGAGCATACCGCAAAGAATACACAGTTGAAATTGACATTCGGAACTGGTGCTGAGGACCTCCTTCCAGCTATTTACGCAAGGGATCGCTGGGCTTATGGGAGAGATTCAACTTTTCCAAGTGCAGAGAGTTTTCAGGGTGCGCAAAGAACCAGCCCATATGGGGTAGGTGGGTTATTTTGCTACCCCAGCTTTAAAATGGAGTTTGAATCTACCGAGGCGTGGGATTGGTATTACGATAGCTCCATCGGAGGCTGTCTTCTGAGGAATCAGCAGATAAGGGCCCTGGAAGAGAATGTGGGGCGAGAGTACTTTCCCAAGGATGGAGATAAGAGGCATACCGTTTTGGTTGGGCCCCCGGGCAAACAGAAGGAATTTCACTTGGGACTCCATGAATTTTTTGATTTCGGGGTGGTTTGGGAACCACCAAACCCGAAAGCGGGTAAGAGTGGCAGGTCAAAAAATCCCGATGCGCGGTCCCACGGTTCGCTGGGCGACAATGCTAAGGATGCTCACGCAATGCCAGAGATGGAGAGGTTCAGGGAAGGTTGGATTCTAAACTTTGGAAGTAAGATACAATGTGCTGCATGGGCTCCAAACTGCAGTGGCACGACCCAGTATCTTGCGGTAGTCGTCCCGCTTCCAGAATCGCAGAAGGCCGCGGAGTGTGATATAAACCTCACTGGGGCTCCTGCTTTTACTCCCTCGCCGCCATATCCAGCCGCGATTCAAATTTGGGCCTTTGAAGCCAAACAAAGCGAAGAAGTTTTCCCTCGACCTTTAGATATGTCTATTGAGCCCCGATTGCGATTAGTTTTATGCACCAGATTTGGCGATGTGAAGCGCCTTTGTTGGTGTCCTATGCCACGAAAACCTCGCTCAAGCCACATAGAAGGGAAAGAATCGATCAATCTTGGTCTCTTAGCGGGAATCTGGGGAGATGGAAGTGTCAAAGTTTTGGATGTGAATATCGAAAAAAATTCACCGACCACGCAATGGGGTACGTTTCCTTGTCAATGTTCGAGCGAAAGCACTGACTCTTAGGTGTAGCAAAAGTTGAAAGCCCGGTGTTCCAGGCGAAACCTCCGTCAACACTGTGTACATGTCTCACTTGGCTTTCTCCGGGTGACCTGGCTGTTGGTTGTGCAAATGGATTCATTGCGGTCTGGAGCCTCCCTGCATCCTGCGGCAAATCGGAATCAAACCCTGTGCCATATATATATACTCCAATTCACACTGCCTACATTCTTAATGTCGTTTCGGCTTATCCAAACCACCCGTACCTCCTTGCTTCCAGCAGTATAGACGGCCAAATGAAGCTCTGCTCTCTTGTCGACCCTCTGGTTGATATCGCCGAAGCGATCAGAACACGAATGGGGACGCTAAATCTATCATATTCACCATTCTTTCAAGCATTTGTGACGACGGATGAAGCAGACTTTGTTCGTTTGCAGCCAGTTCGCCGTTTCTTTTCGACAATCTCTGTCCTTCGTTCTACATCAAGTGTAACTGCGATTGCACCTTGTAGCCCATGCCACCCTACAATCCTGGTAGGTACCGCAGGCGGTCTAGCTATGGCGACTAACCCACTTCGAAGGCTCCTCAACCCAAAAAACAAACATTTCCAGCAAACTTGGTTCTCACATGAGTGGGTTCTCGCGAGGGATACCAAGAGTGAAGAACGACTCGGCGTCAGTAGATTCTATGACGGTTTCAAGGCAGAAAGCCCGAACCTTCTAAGAAGTGCTACGCAAGGAAAGATATCGAGCAATATGATGACCATATATGAGGAGGAGACGGGCATCACCGTCCTTGCTCACAACCCTAATGACCATTGCGGAGGATGGGCATGCGCAGGGTTAGGATGCGGGCTGCTGCGGGTGGAAGACCTAACCCTCCGCCCTCGAAGGTAAACTGCTCTTCGTTGAAATTCGACAGCGACCAAACTATGTGCAACAAGCAGACAGGCTTTAGGCTTGACAGGCGGACTTGCTTGGCTGGATTAGTCATCCTTGGCGATCTCGGTCCCCGCTGACCGAAGTAGGATGGCGACCGAGAGCCTCTTTGTTTACTCTGTCCCAATCCAAACAATAAGCTGTTCACAAACCCAGAGGGCACAGGGGATTTCAGTTTGGCACGGACTGGAACAGAAACCATGAATCAGGTCTGTCTATGATTTGGCATCCGAAGGGCTGCCAGCGCCGGGCGCGTTCATTTAATGGGTGGCTGGGAGTTCGACCAGCCACCCCAAATTCGTTCCGCCAGGAATGGCTCGAGGGGTTGGCTCGATCAAGATGTCATGATGGAATGTGAATATGTTTCTGAAGATAAATCTATGGAGTATGCGGTACCTTGGCACACTTATTATCTTCTAGGTGCAGGTGCCCATCGTGGACTCTCCTTGTTGAGGTTTCAGTGCAGAACACAAGTTCGAAACGAGACAGTACTCTTCACATATTTAGCCTTTGTCTCCTGTCGTCACTCATTATGCGGCTTCAAAGTTTGATTGCCGTCGCCCTAAGTCTCGGTTTCACTCTCTTCGCAGTCTCGCTTCCGCTATCGCCCAAGCGATCTATTCATTCCCCCAATGAGCGAAGACCAGTCACATATTCAGTGGTTCAAGTGGACGGTGGCTCGACCACAACTGATAGTGGCTCTCCGAATGTCATTACGGTGCCTATACCGGCCCCTCCCGTTACGGAGACCCTAATCTCCACCGTGACCATACATCCATCGTCGTCGAGTGGTGTAACGATGACGAGATCCTCCAGCCTCTCCACAGCTACGAAGACAACGTCGAAAGCAGAGCCGACAACCCCAAAGAGCCCAACGATAACAGAGACGGCCTCCTCGTCAACCCCAAATAGCACCTCTTCACCAAAGGTGACACCTTCATGTCCTACCACGGAGATAGGCACAATCTCGTCAACAGTTCCTGTCTACCCATCTTCATCGCTGCCGCACCCATCAGGCTCCCCGGCCACATCGACCTGTTACTCTAGTCTAACGTTCCACCTTCCAATGCTTACACCTCTTCCTTCGATATGAATATGTTACTGGCGACCAATATGGATGTTTGCTAGACATGAACGATGTTTTTATGTTTCTTTGTTAAATATTGGTAGGTTTGTGGATAAGTGAGTTGTATAATATGGGAAACATCAATAGTGAGTTAGGCGTTTTAGATGGGTAGGATGGGCATTGGAAACATGATTTATGATTTGTGATTAGCATATGAATCGGCAGCTCAACCAATACCATAGAGTACAGGTGCTATGTCCGAACTAAATCTACATGCTGTTGATGTCTCTTGAATCTGCTTTGTTAGTTGATACTATGATACCGATCTTTGATTCATTATACAAGGTCTGAATGAGAATTTTGTTAAATAGCTGTTTTCCATAGTGACAGAACAACAACTGCCATCTGTGTCTCCTGCAACCAGGGGGTTTATGCTGCTGCTAACCTACCCGTGCCGTTGGGGTCAGCCACCTCTCAACTGTCCAGTTGAGATAACCTGAATGGGTTAGAAACAGTGCATAGAGGAGTGAGCTGTTGAAGACCATGTGCAAGGATCATGTCAGAACCTGATGCCTTCTTTGGCGCTGTTGTCTTATCACTCTAACTGCTTCTACTTTACTTTCGTGAGGCGAAGTGAGTTGGTCATGATACATGGGATTTCTAATATCAGACAAGCCAGCTTCTGGTTTCAGGAGGAAGAAAGTTTCCTCCGCCTGCATTTGAGTTTCAGCCTGGTAGGCCATGTTTCAATGTCTTGTTATCTCCGCGGAGGGTAGTGTTCACAAACCGTTGTTCCTCCAGAATCCAAAATCCACATTTGGTGTCAGCCACTTCCTTGGCCTTTCTTCGGTGGGAATTGTGGGACGTCTTTTTCACCACTCTATACGGAGTACTTGTCACTGCAGGCCTGTCAGTAGGCTTCTCAGCCCCCAGTCCTTTGGTATCCTCTGGCTTTCGCGATTGCGCTGCACGAGCCGAAGCTCCTTTTCATAACATTTCATTTTTCCAGCCAAGAAAGAGTCGAGTGAATCACATATCCTGTCCACCTCCAACTTGTAGGTAAACCAAAGTTATGCATTGGATGCATACTTAAAATAAACAGGATACCGATCAGAATGGGCCCAGTCTAATAGTCGGGGGAGGTATCATCTGTTAACACCCATACTTCATGTAGGAGATGTCTTTTTGGGTGGAATAAACCAGTATAGTTGAAACGACCAGCTGACACGGGTTTGTGCTTTTTCCAAAGTCTCTCCGGGAAATTGCTTCTAAGTATTCTTGTTTGTCTCAATCATCTGCTTTATACCTGGTACTCTAACCTTGAGGAGTGTTGCAAGTTGCAGGGTATTAAGCATTTTTATACCTTCACCGCCCAAAAAATGTTTTGCTATTAGTTTTGAAGGCAAGAAAACGCCCTAGAAGAGATCTCAGGTGGCTGGGATTCAAAGATGTAATGGGCGCGTCTCGCGCTGTCATATTTTGGAAGATGCTGTTCTTCGTACCCAGGGCGCATCGTAGTCGGCCTTCGGGGGGTTTCCTGGGTTCCTCGCCTCGCAAGAAGATTGAAGAGCGCGCCTGTAGATCTCCGAGCGAAACGTTGCGTGGGAGTCACCGAGCAGGTAGCCGCAATAGAGCCTATACTCCATAGTATGCTAGTGAATCCAAAAAGGTTTTGCTCAATAGAGATGTGGCTTCTTTATCTTTTTGGGGCCGTTGGCCTTTAACCCACCGTGAAAGTGTTGCTGTATTAACTCCATTGATATTCAATTGCGGTATGTGTTAAATTCGGAATCAACTGCAAAGTAAATTCTTGTAACGCGAACTCTATAGCTTCTTCATTGATTATTGTTGAGATCGTGAACGTGTTGCGTTATCTTGGTTCTGGAAGAATTCAAGATGGACGTAATTATCCAAACTCCAGATCCCGCTAGCGTGGAGTTAATCTGGCCGTTGCTCCAGGCATTTATCGGATCGGTTGATTGCGCAAGACTACAACCCTTCAACGAAAGCCATTTCACGTCCTGGTTACACTGGTGAATCTGTTAATTCGACCATTCGTGGGCAAAATATTCTCTAGAGCGTCAACAGCCGTGTGAAGATCCAGCGCCTCGGATATTCCTGCAGGCACCATGGCCAGCGGGCCGCACCTTTCTGAGGACCAGAGCCGTCTGCTCGAAGAGGCCTTGGCGGTCGTTCGGCAGCAGTCGTTAATGATGCGAAGATGCCTGGAAACCCCTGGGAAGCTAATGGACGCACTGAAATGCGCGTAAGTGCTCGATGCGTAACCATCTCCAGCTTGGTTTCTACGTTGTGCCCAGGTTTCGCTGACATGGTCCAGTTCTACCCTGATTTCAGAACTTCGCACGCCCAGCCTACCTCCGAAACAATATTATGAACTGTACATGGCCGTATTCGATGCCCTGCGCCATTTATCCGACTATCTTCGGGAGAGCCATCCTGTAAACCATTTGGCCGACTTGTACGAACTTGTTCAATATGCTGGCAACATCATCCCGCGCCTATATCTTATGATCACTGTTGGCACTGTATATATGGCTATCTCAGATGCCCCCGTGAAAGAGATCATGAAGGATATGATGGAAATGAGCAGAGGGGTACAACATCCGGTGCGTGGTTTGTTTTTGAGATACTATCTATCTGGGCAAGCAAGGGATCATTTGCCGACCGACACGGGAGAGGGGCCTCAAGGCAACCTGCAAGATTCGATCAATTTCATCTTGACGAACTTTGTGGAAATGAACAAGTTGTGGGTTCGACTGCAGCACCAAGGACATTCGCGGGAACGAGAGCAGAGAACCCAGGAGAGACGGGAACTTGAGGTTTTGGTTGGAAGTAACTTGGTTCGCCTCAGCCAATTGGTCGACCTGGAGACGTATAGATCGGTGATACTACAACCTCTTCTGGAACAGGTGGTGCAATGCAGAGATGTGCTCGCTCAGGAGTATCTCTTGGAAGGTGAGCTTAGTATCCCCCACAGGAAGGAAATAAGAATTTGCGCTGAGATTCATATTATAGTGATTACCAAGGCCTTCCCCGATGAATACCATCTACACACCCTCGATATGTTGCTTACAGCAATCTCAAAGCTTAACCCCCACGTTGACATGAAAAAGATCGTTATCGGCTTAATGGATAGATTATCGTCTTATGCGAGTCGCGATTCTGATAGTAAGGACACCATTGAGGCCAAGAGGGAAGCAGAAGAAGATGCAACCCGAAAATTACTGGAGCGCGTGAAAATATCCGAAGAGCCCGGACCTACCGAAGCACCCGAGACCAAACAGAATGGTACTGCTGAACCAGCGAAAGAAAGTAAGAAGGAAAAAAGTGAACAGGAATCTCTACCAGGGGTTTCTGTTGAAGCTCCCAAGGAGGATACGGGCGCGGAGTCCAAATCGGCGTTACCGGGTGATATCAAACTGTATGAAGTTTTCTATGATCAGGTCGTGAACTTGGTAAAAACTCGGGGGTTACCCATTCAAGATACTATTGCGCTCCTAGTTTCTCTGGCCAACCTTGCGCTGTAAGTTTTCCGGACGTCTACAATTCTACCAGGCGACTAATGAAAGCACAGGAATATATATCCAAATAAACTAGGTTTGATGCCTCGCTTGTGATTTTTGCTGCAGATCATGAAGTGTGCTAACTGGTGATGCAGAATATGTTGATCAAATTCTCGAATTTGCGACCCAAAAGACCTTAGAACATGCCGATAGCGCAGACCTGCACTCTGCGCCAGCCCAATCTAGCCTTCTTAATCTCCTCTTAGCTCCTATTCATTCTTACGCTTCCATTTTCACGGCACTATCTCTTCCAAACTATATCCCTCTATATGCTGCGCAATCATATCCAACCCGGCGTGCCGTCGCTGGGGATATTTCTCGCAATATTTTGAGAAGTAAAACCCTGATATCCACGACGGAAAGCCTTGACAATGTGCTCCGAGTTCTCAAGGTTCTAATAAAAGAAGGAATGCAACAGCCGCTTGGCTACCCGGGCATGTCGACACAACGACGTGGTGAAACGGACGAGACGCTCGAGGAGCAGGGATGGTTAGCGCGAATAGTCCACTTCATTCAGGGTTCAAACAATGATATCCAATTCAAAGTAAGATCTTGGAGCGAAGCACGTTGTTTCATTCCGCTAACTCTGGCCCCCAGCTTTTACAAGCTACGAGGACAGCCTACTTAGAAGGAAACGAGAGAATCCGCTATACTACTCCCGCAATTATCACTGCCTCGCTCAAATTGGCCCGGCATTTAAAGAAGCGGGAGCATTTTGAAGATAACTTCCAATCACAATCCACAGCGCTATTTAGGTTCATGCACCAATGTGTAAGCACCTTATATCAACGGGTAAATTCGGGTTGTGCAGAATTATCGTTGCGACTTTTCGTTCTCTGCGGTCAAGTAGCCGATGAGGTCGGATTTGAAGAATTTAGCTACGAATTCTTCGCGCAGGCATTTACAGTATACGAGGATTCTATCAGCGATTCAAGAGCACAGTTCCAAGCTGTGTGTATTCTTGTTAGCGCGTTGTATGGAACGAGGAACTTTTCAAGAGAAAACTATGACACTCTTATTACTAAGGCCGCTTTGCATGGAAGTAAGCTTCTGAAGAAGCCAGATCAATGTCGAGCAGTTTATCTGGCAAGCCATCTGTGGTGGGTTATGGATAGTCCACAGCCAGAAGGCGAAGAGCCCAAGGTCGTAAGTGACCCTGACCCAACACACAGTGTTGCCTTTTTATCTGGAAAGTGTTACAAGTATATACTAACTCTAACTCAACAGGTCTATCGCGACGGCAAAAGAGTCCTCGAATGCCTTCAACGCGCTCTCCGCGTTGCCGATGCATGCATGGACACCGCCGTCTCCGTTGAACTCTTCATAGAGATCCTTAACCGCTACGTCTACTATTTTGACCAGCAAAACGAAAGCGTCACCATTAAGTACCTCAACGGGCTCATCGAGCTCATCCAGTCTAATCTCCAGAGCAACCAGGTTGATGGGTCCATCAACTCCAGCCTTGAAAACCCAAAGCGGCATTTCCAACGAACACTTGAGTATATTAAATCGAGGGAGTACGAAGGAGTGGTCACGGAGCCGTCGGTGTGATGTAAACAGAACTCTGTGTGGCTAATGACTTGATGTATGTTTAGCTTATGAATGGATCTTATATGTATGCAATGCAGCTTTGACTGCCGGCTTTGTATACCTGAATTTCTATGGGTGGCTTTTTTGGGTGCTTTCCCCCCTTTTCCCTCCATGGAGTATGAATTAGCTTAGTATTTAATACATGTGATACCTTCCGGACTGTGACCCTTGACTGTAATTGGAGATGGCTAATAGAATGATAATTGGCTGTCGAACAACGTTCAATTTCATTTCTCTGCATCCTATGCATGAGTTTGAAAAGTACGGGACCACAAAACAAAGAAGGTACCCATGAACAGCTAGCCAGCTGTCATTGCCATGCCATGCCTGCCTGCCAGAATGCCTGCCTTCCTTGCTGCAATACACTACATGAAAAGCTTGTATTCCAAGCAGCAACTTAAAAACTAACATGTATAAGAGAAACGGAAAACACAATAGTAGCACCTAGCTCGAAAAAAAGGCAAGGCAATAGAATGTTCAAACACAGGCAGTGAAGTAGAATAAAAAACGCCTGAAAGTTCGAACAACCAGGAAAAAGTAAAGAGGTGACGTTTGAAAGTAGGGGATAAAGGACATCTGATGACAGTGGTTGTTCATGCAAACATGGTAAAGACATTAGAGGGTCATGACGATAAGGATAGGAGTTTAACAGCCGACACTAGGGGTGAGAAGAGATAAGCTCCCTGGCCAGCTTCGAACCCATAGCTCTAAAATCCCGTAGTGGGAGAGATATTCGTGGTAGCAAACTGTCTCGAGCCACTTCCTGGAGTAGGTAAACTGGAACCTGGCACAGGACTACCAATGTCTCCGGGTACTACACTTCCTCGAGTACTCGACGATATGCTGTTATTATCCGGTTCGAACTTGACGAATGTGCCCTTAGGCCCTTCATTCTTGATGATAAAAGAGCCTCCGCCGTTTTGAGGATTGCCTTCCGTGTCACATATATCGAGCATCTCGTCAAGACCAATTTGCGATTCATTCGGAGAATTTAACTGCTCCACTTGACGAAGAATTTGATTCACATTGTGATACCCGGAACTATCGGTGCCGCTAGTCGTATTTAGCTGCTTGCAAGCTTGGATTACTGATAGTCGGATTGCAACAGGCCGTGATGTGTGCGCACGATGAGATCCGCCAAGGATGCCAAAAGCATTGGTTGGCCATCCAGCCCCTTTTAACACAAGTTAGCACCTAAGATAGCTTTGGAATTCCATTTCACTGACCTGAGCTCGGCCCCCAAGATGGAGCTGCTGGAAACCCGGGAGACCCAAATGGATTGTGTGCCCAACCCGCTCCCGATCCCGGTGCTCCTAAGGAGAAATGTGGCTTAGAAGCTACAATAGGACTGGTTAGTGCAAAACGCTACTATGATATGGGAAAAATCTTAACTTACAACCAAGGTGATCAGAGAATAACGACGGGCCTGCAAATCCGATTCTTCCAGCGCCAGGAAGACCCGGCGGGAGGGCCGAAGACAGGGGTTGTGATGGGGGTGCTGTGAGAGGGATGTCACTGTCATCAAGCAATGCACTGCTACCCAATTGAGTGCTGAGCTCATCAATCTCTTGTTGGTTCGTTTTCGATTCATCTTTATGCTGGTCGTGTGGCACTGTACTAGCGGGTCGTTGAATAGGAGCTGGTCGGGAAATGGGTTGGCTTTGAGGTTGGGTTTCATGCTGGTTTCTTTCAAAGGATATAGAGGGCTGTCTAGTATGTGTCAAGGAAGCTCCAGAGTTTTGTGACGATTGTGGGGCCGCTGCAGATATCGGGCCAGCTGCATTGGGTTGTGGATGGAACGGGAGGGATGTATGCCCTACTTCCATTTGAAATCCACGACCTTGACCAAGATGTCGTGGTCCTGTGATTCCTGGAGGGAGAGGGATACTGTCTGGAGAGGCAAACCCACGATATTGTCCTCCAAGAGGCCCAGAGTGATTTGTGTACATCGACATGTCATGGGCCATAGGCATGCGAGGTCCCATCGCTGGAATTGTACCGGGATTAGTAGGCAACCCATTCAATGATTGCATAGGGCTGAAACCGAGCGTATGAGAACCACGGCCAACGCCACCTAATGGAGAGAGCGGAGCAGACGGCTGTGGATGATGGAGGAGCGGAGCCTGAGATACTCCTTTTCCCGGTATCGTAGTGCTTACTGATCCAGGTGATAAAGACGAAGTCTGCGAGATATCTACGTGTGCAGGTTGGGACCGCGGAGATGACGCGTGAGAACCTTGCTGCGAAGGCTGTCGTGGACGTATTGGTGTAGGAGCCTTTGGAACAACCGGGGTGGCGACTTGGAAATGTGGAGATTGAAGAGCTGACGGACCTTGGGGGTGTTGTAGTCCTGGAGGAAGATGCGTCGGGCCAGACTGAGAAGCACGTTTGGCGGCCTGAACTGCGGCTGCTTGGGCAGCCGCTTGCTGCGCAGCTTGCTCTTCACGCTTAGCTTTCTCTCTGCTTTCACGTTCGGCTTTGGCAGCAGCCTCCTTTTCTTGCCTGGCTTTTTCTTCTCGTTCCCTTCGTTCGCGCTCTTCCTTGATCTTCTTTTCGCGTAACTCCCTTTCTTTGGCCTCTTTCTCTTCTCGTTCTCTCTTTTTCGCTTCCTCGCGCTTCTTCTTCTCCCGCTCTTTCTGCTCCCGCTGCTTTCGTTCGAACTCGGCCTGACGTTCACGCTCTTCTTTAAGTCGCTTTTGTCGTTCCGCTTCTTTCCGTTGTCGTTCTTCCTCTTGAGCTTTCTTTTCAGCCTCACGTTTCTTTCGTTGCTCTTCCTTCTTCCGCCGCTGCTCCTCTAGTCGCTTCTCCTCTAACGCCTTTTGGGCAGCTTCCTCTGCAGCCCGCTCGGCCTCCCGTTTTGCTCTCTCCTCTTCTTTGGCTTGCTTCTGGAGTTTCTTCTTGTCTTTTCTTTTTTGAGCCTCGCGGGCTTTCTTTGCCTCACGTTCCACATCAAGCCGATTCTCTTCTTCTAATTCTTCGATGAGCCGCTCTTGACGTTCACGAGCAATCTTCTCTCTATACGCCGTCAGGACTCGTTGTTCAAACATTCGTGCTGCAAATATTTGAAACATCCTCCTTCCTTCTTCCATCCGTTGTTCCTCTGTCATTGCATCCTGTTCATTCCTGTCAGTATGGTGCTGGTATACCAGGATTGCACAATGAACGGACCATTTCATCTTCCTCATATTCTTCATCATCTTGACTATCATAATCTTCCTCTTCTTCATCATCATATTCTTCTTCATCCAAAGGTGGACCATGATTATGACCTGCATGCATGGACTGATGGGCTGCGGACGCAGCTGCATACTGCGTGTCTTCTTCACGTTGCATTCGCCGCTCAGCTAATTGCTCCATCATATCAATAAAATGCTTCCCGTCATTTTTGAGAAGGTCATCAGCTACTGTAAGAATTCCATCTATTACATGTAAAGTCAATGATGTTCCAAACCAATTGGTAGGGAGCACAAGGAAACCGCACCTTTCACAGTTAAGCTATTCCCAAATGCGAAGAAATCGGCGCGCGTTGTTCTGGCTGCATCCTCCAATTCATCCTCGCTATACGGCTCGTCATCCTCATCGTCCTCATCGTAATCATCATCTAAGTCTTCATCGTCGTCAGGGAGTTCTTGGACTCTACCTCTCGACGGATGTTGGGCGACGGGATGATGAGAATGTCGATCGAGAGTTCGAAGAGGGGGTTGGTAGAGCCGCGGGGGTGCTCCAATGGGCGCACCATTTTCGAACGATCCTTGTTTATGGTTCGCATATTGCTCAAGCTCTTCATAGTATGCATCATAAAGGACCTCTAGTTCCTCCTCAATTGCGGTTCGTTTTCTCCCACAAACTGTACAACTACAGGAATGCTTCTGTTGTTCCTTCATTTTTCGCAATACAGCTTCCTTTTCTACTTTGACCAACGATCGGCGCTCCTCCTCACCGAGTTGAAGCCAGAACTCTTTGATTCGTTCCCGTTCTTCGTGGGTCGATGTATTCCAGATGCGGTCTTTGGTCACTTTGTGTGCAGATCGGTATGCGGAACTGGACAAAGGTGGCAGGGTGACAGGGCGGGCGAGCGACGCGGACGGGGTAGACATGGACGTAGAGCTCCCCTCGGCTTGATGAGACTGAGAGCGGCTCTTTCTATTTTTCTTCTTTTTGCCTTTTCGCTTGGAGGGCTCTTGAGATTGATGGAGCACACCGTTTTTATCGTGCTGAAGTCCACGTTGGCCCTGTGTAGAATAATGAGTCTCATCATCTGTATAGTCCAAATCATCATTGTCAAAGGCCGCGTGCTGTCCTTGCGTCGCTGCTCGACTAAAGTCCGCAACGATGTCATGGCCACCGTCACCATTCTGTGCCGGCATGTTACTAGACTGTCGCTCCGCAGCGAGGCGGGCAGCCTGCTTCTGCCGTCTCTTCTGCTTCTTCCGGTTCACGGTCGTCGTGGCGGTTGGCGTTTCGGGACTCTCCATATGCTCTGGGGAGCTAGTGCGGGTCTCTGGGGATCCGGTCGATTTCGCACCGGCGATTGAATTTTGTGTTGTAGGCTTGGTCGGAGCTTTCTTAGATGTGCTAGTCGCAGAGATCTGCTTCGATACATTGGTTGGCGGTGCCATCGAACGTTTGGAGTTGGATGGCATGTTGCTATATCACCAAGCGCCTTGGTCGACTCGCCGGCCGAAAAGTAAGAGCGCCTGTGGGGGATCGGATGACGGGGGAGGGGAACGACAGGGCCAGGGCGGAAGAGTGAGAACACGTCTTGCCCTCGAGGCTCGCGTCGATCGGGAGGCGGATAGAGCGAAGGCGAGAAGTAGCACTGCAGAGTAGGTTTGGTAGTTAGGCGTACACAGCAGCAAAACGCTATTCTTGGGACAAAATGATAGAGGTGGTGATGAGGGAGATTGGTAGGGAGCAGGCGGAATTGGCGGCGGGAAATCGGCGGAGTACAGCCCGTCAGTCGCTGTAGAATGCCGCAGGGCAATCTTTTCAGAGGCTCGAGGAGTCGGTTTGGTGGGTGAAGGGCGACAGCGCTGGCTGATTCGCGGGTTCGTCGACGATTCGCCTTTCTTGGGTGGTGGGTGTTTGAGCGTGCAAGACTGGCCGCGACACAGGATTGGTGGAAACGGCAAAATGCCGCCCAGCCATCCCAAAACAGCAAGATTAGACGCCGCAAGCGACGCGAATCCACCTTTCCTATTCGGGACTAACCGCCTTGTACGGTACATGACGGTATATCTGTTCTGCCACTGAAATATTACAACGACTACCTCAATGTTCCCCGCCATATAAATTTCGCTGGGGGTGACTTTCCGCGCAGCGTCGCAGCGCTCCGGCTGAAGCGTTCCTTTACTGTTGCATTTGACTATGAGACATACAGGGCACGCCAGTTCTGCTGGACATGTTTTCCCGACTGAAATATCGGGCTTGCCAATTTTGCCGGATTGATATCGATGCTTGACATTTTACAAAAGAAAACAACTTTGTGGCGCTCAAAGTCATTGGCAACTCTCTTGAAGAAACCGCTCAGACTCCGCAACCATCAGGCCCAAGCTTCAAAACCCCTATCCTATTTCACACCATTTGCAGAAGGCTGGTATTGGAGAAAAGACCACTTGCAGAATAATTGCTGCTGAGTGAGTAGGAGTGGGAGTGTGTTGTGTGTGCGTGTCTGCACAGTCCATGTAGGCACATGGACTTTGTTTGTTGATGTTGGTGTCACTCGCGCTGCACTTGGATGCATAGAGGCTGATGGTGGAAGCCCAAATATGCTTGGTCACGGGAGTCAGGATTGTTTTTTGTGTGCCGTAATTCAGCACTGTGCAGGGTACCTTGGGCAAGTACCGAGCTAAATGTCCAGTTTGCTAGCAGTGCATGATTAGTCAAGGCTTTGTCGATGTCAGCCTTCGCAATCATGAACAAATCATAAACAAGACACTAAAGCACAGGCTGAAAGTCTCACCAAGACAATCCTATTCGCGAAAAGCAAGTCACGTCCAGATTCGGCTGAATCATTTTTCACACTCTTTTTATAGCTCGGTTTTCATTCCTTCAGCAATCCATACAGTACAGTATCCACTCCCACGCACTCGTGTCAACGGATCGAGATTCCTGAAGTAACGCTCTCTCCCCGTCGTATTGACATCGACTCTCTTCCCCCCCCGGCGCGAGCACGTTCAACAAACCACATCCAAGCCGCCGAGTCAATGCACCAGCAAAGCTGAGTGGGAGATTAGTATCGTCAAATCTGTGGTTATTTATAAAGCCAGAGTACGAGCCCCGTCCTTGTTTATCCCCGCAAAATAGCAGTCCGCCTGTCCCCGCCTAGCAAAAGGTCAGCCCGCACCATTCTTGACCCGAGAGGAGCCTTACCCTGAGCGATGCCTTTCGCTTTCAAGTCCTGGTGAGCTGTCATCACATATCGGATCGTTTACTGATAGGTTGTAGTCATTCGATTATCATCCTCGGACACCTCATCGCCAAGCCTACCCCTTCCTCTCGCTTTTAGACTCCCCACGATTACCCGAACGGTAGACCATATCCCGCATTGTGTCCTTGCGATTCAAATCATAAACCTCAATTTCAAGAGAAGGATAGAGTTTGACTCTGTGTGGATAAAACCACACGACAAATTTACGTAAAGAAGGCTGTGCCCGTTGCATTCTGTTACTGAGAAGGGATGGCACATCACCAGCCTGAGAATGTTCTTCGGAGGTATGGCTGCACTCTTTGAAATTTTCTCTTGCTTTTTGTCGAGACTCTGGGAGCCGGTGATCATCTCTACACCTGATTATTGCCCATCTGTCGTCTGGCTGTGACCTGTGGTATGACCTTGTTGCTTATACCACTAATCTTGCCAACACCATTTGATAGGCGGCCACTAACAAATATTGTAATACAGGAAGCTCGTTATTATTGGAGATGGTGCGTGTGGAAAGACCAGTTTGCTGAGTGTGTTCACATTAGGCTACTTCCCAACAGTAAGTTCTTCCTGGCTTTGTACCGGTACTCCTAGTTTTGGCATTGCTAACTTGAGAGAACAAAAATTAGCATTACGTGAGTGATTGATGTGACATTTAGGATTATCAAATGAACCTGTTATACAGCATTACTGACAGATATGGTGCAAATTTTAGGTCCCTACTGTCTTTGAAAACTACGTCACAGATTGTCGGGTTGATGGTCGATCAGTGCAGCTAGCCTTGTGGGATACGGCTGGTCAAGAAGATTACGAAAGATTACGCCCTCTAGCATATTCCAAAGCCCATGTTCTCTTAATCGCATTTTCTGTTGATACTCCGGATTCTCTGGAAAACGTGAAGCACAAGGTTAGATCTTATCCACCGATTCCAGCGGTTGATTTAACAGCCACTAACTAAAAGACTAGTGGATAGAAGAAGCCAATGAACGTTGCCCCAACGTTCCTATAATATTAGTAGGCTTAAAGAAGGATCTTCGTGAAGACCCGCTCGCCATCGAAGAAATGAGAAGGAGGTCTCTTAGATTCGTCTCGCCCAAAGATGGCAGTGAAACAGCGACTCAAATTGGCGCAAGAAAATATCTGGAATGTTCGTCCCTTACGGGAGAAGGCGTAGACGACGTCTTTGAAGCCGCCACGCGTGCAGCCCTCCTAACATTCGACGAGGACAACCGAGGATCCTGCTGCGTGATCTTATAAGCGGATAAACTGTACATGAATTCGAAACCCTTCACACCATACAATCGAGGGCCTCCACCCAAGGGGGCACTATTAGCTCCTTCAGCATCTCCAGATCATGGATAACTCGGCTGGTATAAAAGTGGGCAAAAAAGCACGGTTGGGGTTTGAGATATCGGCTGGAAATATCTGTCTACATACCACCAGGCGATATATGCATTGGCGGAGTTACGGCGCTAATTTCTTTTCTCCTAACGCTTTATTCTTCATGCGACCTCGAGTTTTATTCCATTCCTCACGTCTCTGACGATTCGGCAGGTTATTGCGTTGTACAGGTTGGCAGGCTTCTTCGACAGTTTTTCGACTTTTGCTTGCTTTGACGTTTATTTATCAGATGGTATTGCCAGCGTTCTATGTCCCTTCCATAATTTTTTTTAATCTGGCATGCCCTTTGTTTTGTGTGAGGGTTGTTGATGTTTTTAATGAAGTGCTTTTCTACATCCATATGTGAGGATGGCTATGACACTCGCTGGGTAGAAGGCCCCTTTGTCTCTGGTTTCTGCTTCATCATTACTTTGTCAAATATTATGTCTGTTCAATGCATTCTTGTTATTCACTTATCATTGGTGTATGAGGCATTGAAACGGATCGAGCCTGGAAATTGGGCAGAATTACAGCCCTAGTTCTATTGAGATAATGAATTCCAACCCCCAAGGGACCAAATCTGCTTTCATGGTAATTCTTTCTGATTATTCTCGTGGAAAATGAGACCATGTCAAGATCCTAGTAATACAGCATAGGAATGTATACACAAAACAACGACCTGTAGTCTTTGCCTATATATTAAAATACTCCGATAAACAGCCGGCAACCCCAAAATATAACATGGAAGCTCTTAACGGACACGCGGCTCAAATTGATCAAGGGATAGACGAATCTCCTCCCCCCGCCGCAGCACGACAATTTGTCGCATCTCTCCCTCACACACACGGGTTGTCCTCAATTCCACAAAACCAGTAAACGGGTGTTCAAATCAACCCTCACCATCCTAGCCTAGACCAAAAAGCCGAAAAGGCTACCTCATCTCTTCCACTCATAATTCCATCCTTCTCGACTCGGCGTCTCGGTCTGTAATCGCCCGTATTCAATCGGAACCCCATCCGTAAACACGCCTTTCTTATGCATCGAAACCCGAAACAAATAGCCCCCGTCTCCCACGCCTGTACGTAGCTCTTCGCACGCATTGCGCATGCTAGTATACATACGTTCGAGCTCCAGATCTCTGGCGGCACGGCGTTTGGCCTGGTACAGGTTCCAGGCACGATGGATGGTCCAATGGCGGAGGTAGCGGTCGCGAGAGAAGCGGAGGGGGCGCGGGGTGAGAGGATGGTAGAGAAAGTAGCGGATAAGGGCTGGAAAGCGGGTTAGGATTTGAGATCTAAAGCCTTGTTCGGGGGGTCGATGAATGGGAACAGTAACGTGGCAGGGCTACTTACTGATTCTCTTGTCTGCTTTAGCTCGGCCTTTTTTTTCCAGAGGAGCACTGGATGTGAATGACCGGCTAGATTGAAGCACTTTTGATCGGTAACAATCCTGCGCTAATGCTTCACGACAGGTGTGGTTCACGAGAGGTTGGACGGACGGACGAAGGGGTATTCTGAAGACATTTGCCAGTGAGGCGAGAATTGGAGATATTTGTTGCCTCATAGTTGATTAATGGCTAAAGCCAATTAAACTGGTCAAGAATTGAGCAGGTCAAGGTGGAATCGCTGACACTGGGAATCTGCCAAAAGGTTTCAAATGATGATTACAGATTTTCGACGAAATGCCAAGCTATTAGCCGCGAAATTACATAATCAATGGAGTTGTCCGTCTATATGATTGGATGCAATAAGCGCTCTCATTTGCACACCGGTTTTAGTTAGGGGCATGAGGAGACTATAAGATCGAGAAGAGAAGAGCGAGGTCTGAGAGCGGGTATGTATTGTGGAGTAGACATATCCATTAATCTACACACGTAATGATAAGACAACGCATCCGTTATCGAGTGCGATTTCCAACCGGATTTACCCCAAGAATCATAAGCCGTCATAATCATCCTGGAAATGTTCCCAAACGCCACGAACAATAATGCTATCCATGCTCAAGATGCGGATAATACCTAGTAGTGGAAAGGGAGCTCGCTGAGCACATAGCCTGTCAATGCCAGCACTCAGAGCCATACGTGCAGGAGACGCGGAGGTAAGGCCGAATGGTTCCATACCTGGATATCGACAGTTCCAGCTCACGGGTCAACGACCCGCTTTTTAGTTCGATCATAATTCAATACTCTCCTCTTACGATGTGATTGTGCCAATTTCCACCGGCAGTAGAGCACCAAAGCATCTTTGAGGAGAACGAAGAGACAACCGCCGACAATGCTTCTTCCCCACTTTGTCTGAAGGAATCCCGCCCTGCTTTTATCCACGGGTGCCATTGTCCATGACTTGGGCAGGGTAACCTTTAATAGTCCGCCCATTCCAGCAGATATAGCGGGGAACAGAAGCGCCCCAAGAACAGTGTCGGCAATATTACTTGTATCGTGGATAATCTCGTTCTGGCGTCTTCCGAGAATCGGATTTGCGGCCCCTCCTTGCTGATTTTCTGCTTCTTCTTGCCCTCCAGCTTGTTGGTTGTCCCCACCTTGAGCGACAGCTTGTACAGCAAGAGGAGGGTGATCATCATCCCCCATGCCCAACTCCAATTCCAGACCAATCTCCATTAAAATTTCCCCCTCATTATCAGGGATCTGTTCACGGTGATGGATATGCCCATTGTGGTTCTCATCATGGCCAATTTCTTCGGCTTCTTCAGCCTCTCCAGCCCGTGGTTGAACCTCTGCTATCCACTTCCTCTCCAATCTTCCAAACAGCTTTTCATAGAGCAGACCATAAAAGGACTTTGCATAGGGCAGTGCAGCAAACGTTACCGATGCACTAGGCGGCCACATATCTAAATCCAGCTGTCCTTCACCTGGGCGATGTGTGGCAAAGAATATTACCGGTATGGCGGGCAACAAGCTCTCCGCATATCTCGTCCGCGAAAAGATCAACGTCAACGGAATCACCGGCAGCCCCAAATTCAATCTCGGATTCCACGATTGGCGTGCCCCAGAATCCAATATCCGCTTCGCCTCCTCCGGTCCAAAAATCAGATACATCGAATAAACTCCATGCGCACAACACCCGGCCCAAATCGTACCCGCCATTGTGAATAATAACCCAGGCAGCACCAAACGTCCGGCAATTTTTTCCGCTTTGCGCATAAAGTCAACCACCAAACTCCTCGGTCGAGCTATCACGATCTCCGATTTACACTGTGGACAATGCATCTTCGCCGCCCGACCACTATACCGTCTCGATTTCGGATTCTCCAAATCAGCCAACCAATCGAGTAAACACGCCTCATGCGCGTACAGCGCACACGGACACGGCGAGCGCCACTCCGCATTCAGCGGCGAATCCTCCGTCTCATCGGTGTAGCAAATCCAGCACTTCTTAGGCTCTTCATCGTGGGGAGGATTGGTCACAGACGCGGAGATGTTGCTCTCTTCGGCTTCCGCAGTTTCCTTGCGCTTACACTCTAAGAGCTCCTGATCCACTTGCTTTTCTCTTTCCTTTATATTATTGGCGGTGATCTCCTTTTGGGCGTCTGCGAGAGAGGCTGCGGTAGGGCTTTGTCGCAAGGGCGGTTCAGGGCTGCGCTCAGGTTTTCGTGCACGGCGCGCTTCTGCGTAAGGAGATAGGTCCAGGAGCTCTTCTTCCTCCTCGTTGGGTGATTCCTGTGACGATGACTGGCGTGCCCGGCTGGACGACGCTGACTGGGGAGGGAACGAAGCCATAGCGGGTTCCTTGGTAGTATAAATTATTCAGTTATATTAGGTATTTCAGCTAAAAAAGGAAGGATAACAATCGTTACGTGGTAAATGTCATTTTTTCAAGAAGACCCGGTTTGTAGAGTCGCGATGGGGGGAATTCAGGAGCTCGGTTCGATGCCCTGGCGTAATGGTGTATGGCCTGATAAGCTGCGGGCGGCAGCGGACGTCAGAGGCGACATTGGGTCACGTGATGTACTGCTTTCCGAGCCGGAGCTTGCGATCTAGGCCGAGGCTGGATGAGACAGACTGATTGTAAAGCACTTTTAAGGGAATTTTGTTGCCATCCGAGAAGGTAATACTAAATTCGGGACTTCCGATGCTAAAAGGATGAACTTGTCAAAATGTCATATTTACAGACATGCAACCCAAAGAATTAAAGCCACCTGACTACTCCATTCGCGCTGTGCAATGGACACGCGGACATCCATTGATGAACTTAATTCAAACCCATTTTTTAGAACCTTGAAACAAAAAAGAGAAAAAGGTAAAAGAAGAGAAAATTGCACCGAGCCATATGAGCAAGACATCAGAATGAAATATCAACGCCATGGATATCAAAATGGGGCAAAAGTTTAGAGCAAAGAAATAAAAAAACCGGCGCTAGCCAGGCTCGCAAATTAAAATTTAATGTCCAGATCGTTTCTTCATCAAGGCTCTCCTCTCTTTTTCTTTGGCTACAAGGAAGGCAATGTCAGTGATCAGTTTATACAGGGCGACCGAAGGTTTAGGGCCTCTTACCTTCATCGTACACTAGGAACTCATGCAATGCCTTTCCAGCGGGCACCATGGGAAGGACGGGAACCTTTTTATCGGTGATAACTTCAAGGAGAGCAGGACCATCGGTCTCAAGCAGCCATTTCAGGCTTGATTCGATGTCTTCCGGTTTTGCGCACCTCTGTGCCTGCACTCCCATAGCCTCCGCCAACTTAACGAAATCGGGGTTTTTCTGGTGGGTATGGGCAAAGCGGTCCTCGTAGAACAAACTCTGCCATTGTGTGACCATCCCCTGCTCTTCGTTGTTCAAAATGAGTGCCTTGATGCCAATGTTAAATTGGGCAGCGGTGGACAATTCAGTGAGGGTCATATTAAATGAAGCATCGCCATCGATATCAACAACCAAACAGTCAGGCCGCGCCACCTTCGCACCAATAGCGGACGGCAAGCCGTAACCCATAGTGCCAAGGCCGCCAGAAGTAATCATCGTACGAGGGTGTCTCCATCGGAAGTGTTGCGCAGCCCACATTTGATGCTGACCGACACCGGTCGTGATAATAGTACGATCCTTCATGTGAGCCGTGAGATCGCTCAACTTTTCAATGACGTACTGGGGTTTGATAAGTCCGTCTGGGGTTTGTCTCTCATATGAAGACAAGGGGAATCGGGCTTTCCAGTCATTAATCTGAGAAAACCACTCTGGTCGCTCCGCTACCGCTTTGATCTGGGGAATGAGTAGTGCAAGGTTATCGGCGCAGTCTCCCTCAACAGCCTCTGTAGCCTCGACAACTTTGTTAATGTTCTTGGGCATGACCTCGAAATGAATAATGCCTCCACGGCCTTGTTGGGCGGCGGCCTTGGCCTGAGGAGCAAACTTGGCAATGTTACCAGTGACACGGTCGTCAAATCGAGCACCCAGAGCAATGATCAGATCGGCCTCTTGCATCGCCATGTTGGCATAAGCTGATCCGTGCATGCCAAGCATATGGAGCGATTTGGAGTCGAGTTCATCGAAACCACCAA